GGGTTATCTGTGAAGCGGAGGTGTGAATGTCCTTCATCTGTGATTGGGTCATCCATTTATAATAATAAAATAATAATAATAATAATATGCCATTTAGCAGACACTTTTATAAATTTTTGTGTATGGGTGGTCCCGGGGATCGAACCCACTACCTTGGCGTTACAAGCGCCGTGCTCTACCAGCTGAGCTACAGAGGACCACTGATTTTTGGACTGATACTAGCCATGATTATTGATGAATATACTATCAATCCAGTATCCCTGCACATTGTAAATATGGTACTGGAACTGACTGAGCCTTTATATAGCATGCTTACTTACTTTGTTGTGTTTTTATTATTTATTGTGTGTTTTTTGTTCTACTTTTGTTATTTTTAGTATTACATCGTTATTGATTACTGCATTGTTTGGTTTAGAGCTTGCAAGAAAGGCATTTCACTGTACTTGTGTAAGACACAAAAACATTTGAAACTATAATTTATAAATGCCTCATTAGTTCAATTGTGGTACCCCATCAGAACTCAAAATAATAAGAATCTCATGGAAGGTCAGTCCTTGCATCAATAACGCTGTCTATGAATTTGAGTGGTTAGTCCAACCCCATCCCTCAGCTGTTTCCCAAAGCAGTGGTGGGGTGGCTACTTTTTAAGTCGCTTTGGATAAAAGTGTATGCTAAATGGCATATTCTATATTCCGCTTTGTTGACGTTTGAACTGCAGCTTGTCCCTTTTTTAAAGCTTTTTATCAGGAATTCTATTAGGATTGTCGGAGTGATTTTCAAAGGTGACCTGGTATTGCCTGAAATGTAATTAGCCTATTCAAAACAATGGCCCATTCTCATGTTTTACAATCTCAAATAAATAAAGGATACTGTTACTTTCTTTTTACTTCACGTCCAATCACAGGATTTTGATACGTGCATACAGTGCAATAAAGTGAATGGTTAATAATACCAGAAATAAAGGTAGTTCTGGTGTGTACAGTCGTGGTCAAAAGTTTTGAGAATGACACATTCATTTTCACAAAGTCTGCTGCCTCAGTTTTTATGATGGCAATTTGCATATACTCTAGAATGTTATGAAGAGTGATCAGATGAATTGCAATTAATTGCAAAGTTCCTCTTTGCCATGAAAATGAACTTAATCCCAAAAGAACATTTCCACTGCATTTCAGCCCTGCCACAAAAGGACCAGGTGACATCATGTCAGTGATTCTCTCGTTAACACAGGTGAGAGTGTTGACGAGGACAAGGCTGGAGATCACTCTGTCATGCTGATTGAGTTAGAATAACAGACTGGAAGCTTTAAAAGGAGGGTGGTGCTTGAAATCATTGTTGTTCTTCTTCTGTTAACCATGGTTACCTACAAGGAAACACGTGCCGTCATTGCTTTGCACAAAAAGGGCTTCACAGACAAGGATATTGCTGCTAGTAAGATTGCACCTAAATCAACCATTTATCGGATCATCAAGAACTTCAAGGAGAGAGGTTCAATTGTTGTGAAGAAGGCTTCAGGGCGCCCAAGAAAGTCCAGCAAGCGCCAGGACCGTCTCCTAAAGTTGATTCAGCTGCGGGATCGGGGCACCACCAGTGCAGAGCTTGCTCAGGAATGGCAGCAGGCAGGTGTGAGTGCATCTGCACGCACAGTGAGGCGAATACTTTTGGAGGATGGCCTGGTGTCAAGAAGGGCAGCGAGGAAGCCACTTCTCTCTAGGAAAAACATCAGGGACAGACTGATATTCTGCAAAAGGTACAGGGATTGGACTGCTGAGGACTGGGGTAAAGTCATTTTCTCTGAATCCCCTTTCTGATTGTTTGGGGCATCCGGAAAAAAGCTTGTCCGGAGAAGACAAGGTGAGCGCTACCATCAGTCCTGTGTCATGCCAACAGTAAAGCATCCTGAGACCATTCATGTGTGGGGTTGCTTCTCAGCCAAGGGAGTGGGCTCACTCACAATTTTGCCTAAGAACACAGCCATGAATAAAGAATGGTACCAACACATCCTCAGAGAGCAACTTCTCCCAACCATCCAAGAACAGTTTGGTGACGAACAATGCCTTTTCCAGCATGATGGAGCACCTTGCCATAAGGCAAAAGTGATAACTAAGTGGCTCGGGGAACAAAACATTGACATTTTGGGTCCATGGCCAGGAAACTCCCCAGACCTTAATCCCATTGAAAACGTGTGGTCAATCCTCAAGAGGTGGGTGGACAAACAAAAACCCACAAATTCTGATAGACTCCAAGCATTGATTATGCAAGAATGGGCTGCCATCAGTCAGGATGTGGCCCAGAAGTTAATTGACAGCATGCCAGGGCGGATTGCAGAGGTCTTGAAAAAGAAGGGTCAACATTGCAAATATTGACTCTTTGCATAAACTTAATGTAATTGTCAATAAAAGCCTTTGACACTTGTGGAATACTTGTAATTATACTTCAGTATACCATAGTAACATCTGACAAAAAATATCAAAAAACACTGAAGCAGCAAACTTTGAAGACCAATACTTGTGTCATTCTCAACTTTTGACCACACACCCCTTCCTTGCACACTATTCACATTTTGCTGTCTTACATTTTATAATTTTTTTAGATTAAATTATATACATTTTATTTTTCTACAGTACTACACAACCTACTTCACATTTAAGTATATGGAAGCATTTTTTTTGTACAACTCTTAGGGCAGCAATATTCAAACCTTGTCTCTGATATTCAAGCAAATTTAAGTCAGGACTCCGACTCGACCACTCAGGAACACTCAACACCTCTTGGAAAGCCATTCTGGTGTGTCTTTGGCATAAAAATGTATGTAATTGTCTCACTGAAAAATAAAGCTCTATTCCAGGGCTTTCCAAGAGGTGTTGATCACGAAAAACTCCCCAGTCCCTGCTGATGGCAAGCATACCCATAACATGATGCCTCACACATGATGCCTCAATGGGCCTCACAATGGGCCTCAGGATCTCATCACAGTATCTCTGTGCATTCAAATTGCCATCAATAAAATGCAAATGTATTCGTTGTCTGTAGTTTATGCCTGCCCATACCATAACCCCACCGCCACCGTGGGGCACTCTGTTCACAGCGTTGACGTCAGCAAACCACTCGCCCACACAACGCCATACACGTGGTCTTCACTTGTGAGGCTGGTTGGACATACTGCCAAATTCTCTAAAACGACGTTGGAGGAGGCTTATGGTAGAGAAATGAACATGCAACAGTTCTGGTGGACATTCCTGCAGTCAGCATGCCAATTGCACGCTCCCTCAACTTGAGACATCTGTGGCATTGTGTTGTGGGACAAAATTGCACGATTTAGTGGCCTTTTACTGTCCCCAGCGCAAGGTGCACCTGTGTAATGATCATGCTGTTTAATCAGCTTCTTGATAATCCATCCACCTGACAGGTATTGCATATCTTGGCAAAGCAGAAATGCTCACTAACAGGGATGTAAACAAATGTAACCTCACAATTTGAGAGAAATTAGCTTTTTGTGCATATGGAAAATGTATTTTATTTCAGCTCATGAAACATGGGACCAACACTTTACATGTTGCGTTTAATATTTTTGTTCAGTGTAATTTGGAAAATGTTCTTTTAATTTTTCTTTCACTTTGAAAATGTGGAGTAGGTTGTTTAGATCATTTGAAAAAAATCGAATTTCATCCCTTGTTAAATTACATTTTAAGGCAGAAAATGTGAAGACTGCAAGGGGTGTGTAGACTTTCACTAGCGACCTTCTTCCTTGTGTGACCCGTTTTGCGCATAAGACAGGAGAGCGTGCAGTCAGTTTGGAACGGGATCATTTCCTTTCTAACAGGGTGAGTCAGAAGAGCATTGATTTATTAAATGTAGACTCTTACTCAAATAGAACTAATGTAAATGTAGTATTTTTTTTTCTAACTTTTATGCTCTTATGTTGCAGTTGCAGATGGTTCAGTTGATCAACCACCAGACATATTTTGGGGATACTTGAGTCATACACTGAGTGTACAAAACATTGCTCTTTCCATGACAGACTGACCAGGTGAATCCAGGTGAAAGCTATGATCCCTTATTGATGTCACCTGTTACATCCACTTCAATCAGTGTAGATGAAGGGGAGGAGACGGGTTAAAGAAGGATTTTTAAGCCTTGAGACAGTTGAGACATGGATTGTGTACGTGTGTGCCATTCGGAGGGTGAATGGGCAAGACAAAAGATTGAAGTGCCTTTTGAACAGGGTAATACCGGACAGGCGCACCGGTTTTGAGTGGGTCAAGAACTGCAACGTTGCTGGGTTTTTCATGCTCAACAGTTTCCCGTATCAAGAATAGTCCACCACCCAAATGACCTCCAGCCAACTTGACACAACTGCGGGAAGCATTGGAGTCAACATGGGCCAGCATCCCTGTGGAACGCATTTGACACATGCCCCAACAAATTGAGTCTGTTCTGAGGGCAAAAGGGGTTGCAAGTCAATATTAGGAAGGTGAACCTAATGTTTTGTACACTCAGTGTATATTCTATTCTAGAACGTAATAGAAGTTGTAAACAATGTTTGTTAATTTTAATGGTCAGTCCAAGCTTTGCTTCTGTACTTTTTTTTTTTTTCTTTTTTAATGAACCACTAACATGCAACAGGAATCCAGGGCCCATTTTGAATACTTTGAAATTCCTCATTTTCTTTTAAGTAATCACTGATCTGACATGTCTGGATTGGTGAAAACTAAGAGGTGGGACCCTTGCTTTCACCTATTCAATTGTTTTGTGTCAGTAAGATTGCTTCAAGGAAGGAAGCCCTATATATTATTCTGACTTTATTGAACAGATAGAGGATGACAAGATGGTTTTGTCATATGGCAGTAGGCCAGATTCTAACCAATGCCGACACTGTAGAGGTGTGCTGGAGACGGGGGCGTTACTGCTAGACCAGCCAGGCCACAGAGGGAAGCAATTTAACAGTTTCAAAGAGGGCTGACTAATACCTTTTGACCTACGCTTTCCTCTCTGTTTTGTAGGTGAGTCAGGGGAATGTCCCGGGCATCGAGACTGCCTCACTGGCCATGGACACAGAGGAGGGGGTGGAGGTGGTGTGGAACGAAGTACAGTTCTCCGATAAGAAGGTCTTCAAATCCCACGAGGTATCTTTTTGATACTCCTTTCCCTATTTAAAGGCACAAAAAAAGTTTGACCCGGCAGGACTAAAAAGGTCGATCTTTGTCATTATACTGTGCACTGATTGGCCTACATGGAACTAAGTTTGTGTGTTTGAGCATTGATTGTGCATTTCATCCTATGGCCATGGGGGACGAAAGTTAGATCACAAGTTGCCTGCCCTGCTCACATCGTTGAGGGTTTTGGTGATTTAAGTGCTTGTCTATGAAGTGTAACTTAACTTTTTCTCATCTGATATTACCTTAACATTTGTACGGCATATTTTATTGAATCCCACCCTTGGTTATGACCGTGTGTGAATGACAGAGGTGATATGGATAACCAGCTTTGAGAGCGTGAGCTAATGTCAGAAGTGTGGGGGTCTTCGTGGTTGTTTGTCTTGCAGGATCGAATGAGGGAGATGTTTGAGAGCCTGATGCATGTAGATCACCCCAACATTGTCAAGTTCCATAAGTACTGGCTGGACACCAGGGAGAGTCGGGCAAGGGTGAGGGACATGACCATGCATGACCTTGGTCACACACATACATACATACATACATGTAACCAGCACATATTGTAAATACACAGGAACAAACCGTCAGCGTCCTGGGAAAGTAATTCACCTCTTTCAAAGTCTATTCAAAATGGCTTGTGAATTTCCATGACTACAGTACACGGATATATTGTTTTTTACTTTTTGGATTAACAAGGTTTTCCCATGACACTGACGTCCCCCCCCCCACACCCCCACTCATTAGATCTCCATGTCTATCTCCGAACTCAGGTGATCTTCATCACAGAGTACATGTCATCAGGCAGTCTTAAGCAGTTCTTAAAGAAAACCAAGAAAAACCACAAGACCATGAATGTCAAGGTGAGTCCATTCCATAGAGCATGCCAAGGCGAGTCCATTCCATAGAGCATGCCAAGGCGAGTCCATAGAGCATGCCAAGGCGAGTCCATTCCATAGAGCATGCCAAGGCGAGTCCATTCCATAGAGCATGCCAAGGCGAGTCCATTCCATAGAGCATGCCAAGGCGAGTCCATTCCATAGAGAATGCCAAGGCGAGTCCATTCCATAGAGAATGCCAAGGCGAGTCAATTCCATAGAGCAGGGTTCTTCAATTCCGGTCCTGGAGGGCCGAAACACTTCTGTTTTTTATTTCTACCTGGTAGTTAATTGCACTCACCTGGTGTCCCAGGTCTGAATTAGCCCCTGATTAGAAGGAGAGGATGAAAAACAGAGGTGTTTCGGCCCTCCAGGACCGGAATTGAAGAACCCTGCCATAGAGAATGCCAAGGCGAGTCCATTCCATAGAGAATGATAGAGGCCTCTAGTGGCCAAAAGGTCGTTTTAGCATGGGCAGCGCCATTGAGGGCTTCCACCATTTTTTAAAGTAGTCAAGTAGTCAAGTGGGTGGGGATTCCTATTGTTTGTAGCTTCAATGGCGTTACCAATGCTGTCACAGACTATCTATCTCTATGGTCCATTCCCACTAGTCTTCCTCCCCCACCATCAAACCTCAAAACTGGGCACACCCCCATCTAGTGTGTGGCTTTAAAACTACCACAACACATAGTATTCAGGAGGTTGCTAGTAGTCACTTAGCCTGTATTTGTCTCTGGACGCATTCTAGACCATCTGCAAAGCAGTCGCGCTGTACATACTAACCAATTAGAATGATCTGCAGTAGGGCATCAGATTGCACTAATATGTTAAACACTTATCCAGACGGTGTGAGATTGGTTGCATGACTGCAATGTAGACGGCCTGGAACGCGCCCACTGTCTTTGTATCTATGTAACAGTCATTCAGTAAAGCTGTGTTTGCCTATTTTTGTCTCTTGTCTTGCGTGTGGTCGGTTTTTAGGCATGGAAGCGATGGTGCACTCAGATCCTGTCAGCTCTGAGGTAAGAAACCCGGCACCATTCATCCTGTCACTCAACACTCACCCCAATTTATGCAATTCTTTCCCACTGGGCAAAAGCCTGATATAACACGAAATCGGCACCTTTTTGTTTGATTTTTTAAATTGATTATCAACAAACGTGAATTCTACTTGAAACAAACCAACTCTTGAAATCCTGTAGTCAATTTGTGGTTCAAATCTAGTTAAAATGACGTTGACCTCTTTTTGCGTTTTCAACCAAATATTCCATTGATGTTCAACTGCAGTTCAGATGACTGTGATAGAACATTGGTTTAGCATATTCTGTGTGAACTCTATTTATTCAATTACATATCTGAAGGATCACATGATCACAAAATAAAATAAAAAGAAGATGGTTGCTCCACCAAGCAGTATCCCAGCAGGTTTAGGGGCGGATCTGGCTACCGTGTTGTTTACATGTTTTCTCTTAAATTAAATTAGAATGATAATAAACTACTATAAAATGAGCAAATTCAGCATCAAGCTGAACGATGTGAAACTGTGTTTCTCCTGTAGAAGATTTATGAAGTAATTTACCACAGTATGACATAGCTTAGATTACACACAGCACATGACAACACATAATATACTACTCACATTGATTTTAACACAGGGCAGACATACAGCTTGCTGACATGGCCTTGAAGATTCTACTGCGACACACACACACACACACACACACACACACACACAAAAAGGCTAGTTTTTTTTTATGTCCGTAGTTACCTGCATTCCTGCCACCCGCCCATAGTCCATGGCAACTTGACGTGTGACACCATCTTTATCCAGCACAACGGACTCATCAAGATCGGCTCGGGTATGTGGTCTACAGGGCAAGGGAAATAAAGACCCAGTTCTCCACGTTTGCACTAGTTGAATTTAAAAGCATAGGAAAAAGGTTTAACCAATGCTATGCTTTTAAAAACCATCGGAGGTAGTACACAAGGGGACACTTGCAGGGAAAAGATTGGAGAATTAGAACACAGGTGTTTTATCTAAGCACAGGTGCTGGACCAAAAACAATGAACAACAGTCACAGTTCTAGTAATAAACAGTCAGCTGTTACTAATGTACCTCTCTACAGACCTACTGTACAGTGATATCACATATTCTATCAAGTTGAATGGGGCTTATATAATTGAATAAATATATAAAACTTTTCCTCCATTTTTCTCTTGGGGCATGATAATTTTACACTAATGCTCTGTTTTTAATTTTCCCTATCTTTCTGTTATGTTACAGTGTGGCATAGGCTGTTTGTCAATGGTAAGAATCCTTATTTGTCGCAGTTGTTTTTCCTCTAGTCTACAATCCACTACTTATTTGAAGTGCTTGTGGCTTTTCAGAAGAGCGCTGTGCAGAACAAATCTCGGCCCATCGGAAAACTTTTTTTTAAAAACTTTTTAGGAACTAAGTTCTGTCGTGGTTTATGCTCTCAAGACTTTGTGTGTATGTTTACAAGAGAGCCCTTCACTCTGTTTTTTAGATGACCTATTCACAACTGCTCTTCAACAGTTTTTTAATATAATCTGTTTTTTGAGAGAGCGTGAAAGAGATGGAGAGAATGTATATAATTTGTTTTACTCTGGTCTGCTTGTCCCGTTCCCAGTTTTCCCAGAGGCGATCTACGGAAATGTGCAGCATCATCGGGATGATGAAACAAACCAGCACTATTTTGCTCCCGAATACGGCTGTAAGTGTCTGCATCTCCGATCTTCCTTACTCTCCCTTTAACTCCATCTACTCCTCCATGCATTTGATGTAGATCTTATTTTAAGCTTGTGTGTTACAATGACAATACTCACCCTGAAGAAGGCACAGTGATGCCGAAACGTTGGTGGTTTCTTACCCAATAAATTACTGGGAGTTTATACATAGTGTGTGTATATGAACAATACTCCATCACATATTCTGCCTTCCTCTTGTGATGATTTAGTTGATAACTTTAATAGCAAATGAAGGGCAACCATTGATGCCATAGCTCCAGTAAGGCTGAAAAAGGCCACATCCAAACGGAGAAAGCCCCTTGGATGAGAGAGGAAACTAATCAATTAAAGAGAAATTGCAGAAAGGCAGAGCGGAAGTGGAGAAAGTCAAAGTTGCAGGTCCATTATGATATTCTGAGAGAGATACTTGGCATACAGTATATAACAAGGCAATTAGAAATGCCAGACGGGCTAATTTTTCTAACTTGATCACGATTCATCAGAATAATTTGAGAGAGCTCTTCTCGACCATTGATGGCCTGATAAATCCTACCCCCGTAAACCTATGTGAACTTTCCTCCACATCTAAATGTGATGAGTTTGCGGCATATTTCAGAGATAAGATACAAACATTGGGTATCAGTCAAGCAAGACCTGATGAGATGTTTGATATGTGCCCTAGTCTACCATGCAAAGGCACTATGGATTTATTTTCCCTGGTTGACACAGAAATGGTCAGGAAAGTGATATCACAACTTAAGCTTTCTACCTGCCTTCTCGATCCTATCCCCACCACCTTCTTTTACTGAAGAAGTGCAAGCTATTGTTAATCACTCCCTGTTCACAGGCACATTCCCCGCTGCACTAAAAACTGCTATGGTAAAAACCCTTCTGAAGAAAAGTAATCTATACTGAACAAAAATATTAACGCAGCATTCAACAATTTCAACGATTTTACTGAGTTACAGTTCATGAAAGAAAATCAGTCAATTGAAACAAATTTAATTAGGCCCTAATCTATGGACTTCACATGACTGGGCAGGGGAGCAGCCATGGGTGGGCCTCGGTGGGCATAGGTCCACCCACTTGGGAGCCTGAACCATCCACTGGGGAGCCAGGCCTAGCCAATCAGAATGAGTTTTTCCCCACGAGGGCTTTATTACAGACAGATATACTCCTGTTTCATCAGCTGTCTGGGTGGCTGGTCTCAGGCGATCCCGCAGGTTAAGAAGCTGGATGTGGAGGTCCTGGGCTGGCGTGGTTACACGTGATCTGCGGTTGTGAGGCCAGTTGGACGTACTGCCAAATTCTCTAAAACAACAACGGAGGCGGCTTATGGTAGAGAAATGAACATTCAATTCTCTGGCAATAGCTCTGGTGGACATTCCTGCAGTCAACATGCCCATTGCACGCTCCCTCAAAACTTGAGACAACTGTGACATTGTGTTGTGTGACAAAACTACACATTGAAAGTGGCCTTTTATTGTCCCCAGCACAAGGTGCACCTGTGTACCGATCATGCTGTTTAATCAGCTTCTTGATATGCCACACCTGTCAGGTGGATGGATTATCTTGGCAAAGGAGAAATGCTCACTAACAGGGATGTAAAACAATTTTTGCACAACATTTTAGAGAAATAAGCTTTGTGTGTATGGAACATTTCTGGTATATTTTATTTCAGCTAATGAAACATGGGACCAACATGTTGCATTTATATTTTTGTTCAGTATAGATTCTTCAGCTATTAGCAATTTTCGGCCAATCTTCCATTATTAAGCAAACTTCTGGAGAAATTGGTGTTCAAACAGCTAAATGTTTTTTTTAGGTGTCAACTGTATTTCTTTTAAATTCCAATCTGGTTTTCGTGCCCACCACAGCACAGAGACTGCCTTAGTTAAAGTGGTAAATGATCTTAGAGCCAACACAGATGCCAAACAACTCTCTGTCCTTGTACTCTTAGATTTAAGTGCTGCATTTGACACTGTTGACCATGATGTCCTTCTGGGCAAACTGGAGAGGTGGGTTGGCCTCTCCAGTCCAGTTCTAAATGGGTTTAGGACCTATTTAACCGGTCGAGAGTCACCCTTGGTGAACATAACTCAGAGAAAATACATATCACGTGGCGTTCCACAAAGTTAGATTTTGGGTCCGGTACTGTTCAGTTTATACAGTGGGGAGAACAAGTATTTGATACACTGCCGATTTTGCAGGTCTTCATACTTACAAAGCATGTAGAGGTCTGTAATTTTTATCATAGGTACACTTAAACTGTGAGAGATGGAATCTAAAACAAAACTCCAGAAAATCACATTGTATGATTTTTAAGTAATTAATTTGCATTTTATTGCATGACATAAGTATTTGATACATCAGAAAAGCAGAACTTAATATTTGGTACAGAAACCTTTGTTTGCAATTACAGAGATCATACGTTTCCTGTAGGTCTTGACCAGGTTTGCACACACTGCAGCAGGGATTTTGGCCCACTCCTCCATACAGACCTTCTCCAGATCATTCAGGTTTCGGGGCTGTTGCTGGGCAATACAGACTTTCAGCTCCCTCCAAAGATTTTCTATTGGGTTAAGGTCAGGAGACTGGACCTTGAGGACCTTGGACCTTGAGATGCTTCTTACGGAGCCACTCCTTAGTTTCCCTGGCTGTGTGTTTCGGGTCGTGTCAAGCTGGAAGACCCAGCCACGACCCATCTTCAATGCTCTTACTGAGGGAAGGAGGTTGTTGGCCAAGATCTCGTGATACATGGCCCCATCCATCCTCCCCTCAATACGGTGCAGTGGTCCTGTCCCCTTTGCAGAAAAGCATCCCCAAAGAATGATGTTTCCACCTCCATGCTTCACGGTTGGGATGGTGTTCTTGAGGTTGTACTCATCCTTCTTCTTCCTCCAAACACGGCGAGTGGAGTTTATACCAAAAAGCTCTATTTTTGTCTCATCAGACCACATGACCTTCTCCCATTCCTCCTCTGGTTCATCCAGATGGTCATTGGCAAACTTCAGACGGGCCTGGACATGCGCTGGCTTGAGCAGGGGGACCTTGCGTGCGCTGCAGGATTTTAATCCATGACGGCGTAGTGTGTTACTAATGGTTTTCTTTGAGACTGTGGTCCCAGCTCTCTTCAGGTCATTGACCAGGTCCTGCCGTGTAGTTCTGGGCTGATCCCTCACCTTCCTCATGATCATTGATGCCCCACGAGGTGAGATCTTGCATGGAGCCCCAGACCGAGGGTGATTGACCGTCATCTTGAACTTCTTCCATTTTCTAATAATTGCGCCAACAGTTGTTGCCTTCTCACCAAGCTGCTTGCCGATTGTCCTGTAGCCCATCCCAGCCTTGTGTAGGTCTACAATTTTATCCCTGATGTCCTTACACAGCTCTCTGGTCTTGGCCATTGTGGAGAGGTTGGAGTCTGTTTGATTGAGTGTGTGGACAGATGTCTTTTTATACAGGTAACGAGTTCAAACAGGTGCAGTTAATACAGGTAATGAGTGGAGAACAGGAGGGCTTCTTAAAGAAAAACTAACAGTTCTGTGAGAGCCGGAATTCTTACTGGTCGGTAGGTGATCAAATACTTATGTCATGCAATAAAATGCAAATTAATTACTTAAAAATCATACAATGTGATTTAGATTCCATCTCTCACAGTTGAAGTGTACCTATGATAAAAATTACAGACCTCTACATGCTTTGTAAGTAGGAAAACCTGCAAAATCGGCAGTGTATCAAATACTTGTTCTCCCCACTGTATATGTTAACCCTTGGCAGCGTTATCAGAAAGCACAGCATTGATTTTCACTGCTACGCAGAAGATACACAACTTTACATTTCTGTGTCACCAGAGAATTTTACATCCATGGATAAATTATTAGACTGTATTAGTGATTTAAATACTTGGATGGCTCACCTATTGTTGGAGCCAAAGAACAGAGAGAGAATCTAGCCGCACATTTAAATTCATGGGCAATAAAGATAAAACACCAGGTAAAAAACCTAGGTGTTATTTTAGATTCTGAACTAAATTTCGAATCACAAATTAGGAATGTGACCAAAATAGCTTTTTACCACCTGAGGAACATTGCCAAGGTGCGTCCGTTTCTCTCTCAGACTGATACAGAGACTCATCCATGCTTTGATTACAAGCAGGCTTGACTACTGTAATGCTCTCCTGTCTGGTCTACCCAAGAATGCCATTGGTTAACCGCAAAACATACAGAATGCTGCAGCACGGGTACTGACCAAGACCAGGCGGAGAGCACACATTATACCGGTTTTAAGGTCTCAGCATTGGCTGCCTGTGAGTTTTAGAATACATTTTAAGATTATTTTATTGTGTTTTTAAATCAATCCACGATTGCGCAGCCCAATACAATTTTAAGTTATGTACCCAGTAGGTCCCTCAGGTCCGCTGGCACTGGCCTTTTAACTATCCAAAAGCCTAGGACCAAGAGGCATGGAGAGGCAGCCTTTAGTTACTATGCTCCCAGCCTCTGGAATAGCCTGCCAGAGAACCTGAGGGGGGCCGAAACTGTGGACATATTTAAAAGAGATCTTAAAACGCATCTTTTTAGCTTTACTTTTCCTCAGGGTGCTTTTTAGTTGTTCAGTTTGTCATTCTTTTGTTTTTTGTCTTGTGTTTGTAGTAAATATTTCAGCTTTAATTTACATTTGTTTTTTATTTGTTTTTTCCTGTGAAGGACATTGCGTCATATTTTATGTTTTGTAAATTGTGTAAATTGTCTTCAAATTGTGTAAATTGGACAAAGAAGGGTCTCTATACTCTATAAATAACTTTTTTCCTTCTCCCCTGTCTCTCTGTCTCTCTCTCTGTCTCTCTCTCTCTGTCTCTGTCTCTCTCTCTGTCTCTCTCTCTGTCTGTCTCTCTCTGTGTCTGTCTCTGTCTCTCTCTCTGTCTGTCTCTGTCTCTCTCTCCTCTCTCTCTCCTCCTACACTATTCTGTTTTAGTGGCTGAGGATGTTTGCTCTATTGACATCTTTGCCTTTGGCATATGTACCCTGGAGGTAAGACACAAACAATCCGGGGTGAGGTTTCACCTAGGTATACATTTAGGCTCAGTGTCTAGGGGCAACTTCACCCTACGCTGACACAAACACTCTTTCTCTTGCAGTATTCAAATAATAAACACCCAAATACCCTTTAGATACACTAAATGACCAAAGGTATGTGGACACCTGCTCATCGAACATCTCATCCCAAAATCATGGGCATTAGTATGGAGTTGGTCCCCCCTTTGCTGCTATAACAGCCTCCACTCTTCTGGGAAGGCTTTCCACTAGATGTTGGAACATTGCTGCGGGGACTTCCATTCAGCCACAAGCATTAGTGAGGTCGGGCACTGATGTTGGGCGATTAGGCCTGGCTCGCAGTCGGCGTTCCAATTCATCCCAAAGGTGTTAGATGGGATTGAGGTCAGGGCTCTGTGCAGGCCAGTCAAGTTCTTCCACACCGATCTCGACAACCCATTTCTGTGTAGACCTCGCTTTGTGCACAGGGGCATTGTCATGCTGAAACAGGAAAGGGCCTTCCCCAAACTGTTACCACAAATTTGGAAGCACAGAATTGTGTAGAATATAATTGTATGCTGTAGCGTTAAGATTTCCCTTCACTGGAACTAAGGGAACCTAGCCCGAACCATGAAAAACCGCCCCAGACCATTATTCCTCCTCCCACCAAACTCTACATTTGGCACTATGCATTGGGGCAGGTAGCGTTCTCCTTTCATCCGCCAAACCCAGATTTGTCCGTCGGACTGCCAGATGGTGAAGCGTGATTCATCACTCCAGAGAATGCGTTCCCACTGCTCCAGAGTCTAATTGCGGTGAGCTTTACACCACTCCAGCCGACGCTTGGCATTGCGCATGGTGATCTTAGGCTTGTGTGCGGCTGCTCGGCCATGGAAACTCATTTCACGAAACTCCTGACCAACAGTTCTTGTGCGGACGTTGCTTCCAGAGGCAGTTTGCAACTCAGTAGTGAGTGTTGGACAGACGATTTTTACGCGCTATGCGCTTCAGCATTCTGCGGTCCCGTTCTGTGAGCTTGTGTGGCCTACCACTTCGCAGCTGAGCCGTTGTTGCTCCTAGACGTTGCCACTTCATAATAACAGCACTTACAGTTGACCGGGGCAGCTCTAGCAAGGCAGAAATGTGACGAGTTGGAAAGGTGGCATCCTATGACGGTGCCACGTTGAATGTCACTGAGCTCTTCAGTAAGGCCATTCTACTGCCAATGTTTGGTCCATGGAGATTGCATGGCTGTGTGATGGGTTTTATACACCGGTCAGCAATGGGTGTGGCTGAAATAGCCGAATCCACTAATTTGAAGGGGTGTTCACATACTTTTGTGTGTATATCACAAATGAGGGTCACAGATGTTTAATTGATACCCATATTTATGTTATGTTCAATAGACTCGAAACAGGAAAAAACATTCCCGAAACCAAGGATGTTTTTTACCTGAACTCGTCCAATAAGCCATTCTCATTTTCCGATTTTTAAAAATGTTTCTCCTTTTTTTGTGCCTACTGATGGATAATATTAACCACAAATGCAACACAGAGTCGTGTTCATTAGGCACCAAACGGAAGAAAACTGACCGAAAGAGGGAGGAACCACTATAATAAACACGCACATTTACACTTTCTGGTTTTAATGTTTTTCCCCGTTGCGTGCCTTAATAAACACCATCCAGCATATGTTTTTATTTTTTTGGGTCCTCCCCAACTGTAGATGGCAGTGTTGGAGATCCAGGCCAACGGGGACACTGTGGTATCCAAGGAGGCTATAACCCATGCTGCCCAGTCATTAGAGGACCCGCTCATAAAGGCAAGTCACACAGGAGTAGTGGGCATTCGCGATGGAGTCTATAAAGTCAGAAGTAATTTGCCACAGGGCAAAAAAAACTGGTTGCTTTCATATTAGGTATTTACGACTTAATATTTACGTTTTTAGTCATTTAGCAGACTCTCTTCTCCAGAGCGACTTACAGTTAGTGAGTGCATACATTTTTTCATACTGGTCCCCCATGGGAATCGAACCCACAACCCTGGCCATATGACATCTTCTCAACCAGAAAACGTTGTTAAGATGCCGTGGCAAATTTTGCCTGCTGGGTTAGTGCTACATTAGCTGGCATCTTCACTTACCATCTTGCAACGCTCACTTATTTCAGCAGTTTAACGCACACAACATAGGTTGTTCTCAGTTTCTTCATTTTTGCTTCAGTAAAATAGTTGCTCCTGCCAGGATGCCAGTATTTTCTCTAAAGTAAATGAAGGAGACACTGCCATATGCAGTGGTTTGCAATGACTTTAACCACTGGGTGTTCATTCTGGAAAAATGGTGATTTAATAACCAATAATTATGGAATATTAGAATCCCCAATTATACAACTCCTAAGGATTCATTGTACTGTAGTGGTAAATGTGTTAAGGAAAGTTGCCAGCCGCTATAATACATTGAGTCAAACTGTTGGGTGTGCCATCTTTGTTGGGTGTGCCATCTTTGTCAGTATGCCATCTTTGTCAGTCACTGAAGCCACGGCTCTCGCTAATACCCATGACACATTTCTTCCTTCCTTCCTACCAAGTGTTTGTAGTAACTCTGTGAAAGATGACAGGCAGTTATATAGGCACATTGTTAGATGTGTGTAGGAAAGATGTCAGCAGCCGTAATGCTATACGGTACATGGCATCTTTTTTTTGTTGCACGCCAGTCACTAAGGCGATGGCTCTCTCCAATTACCAATTTACACAGTTCCTCTATCCTACCAAAGGTTCACCGTGCCGTTTTTACATTCAAAATGATTTCACACTAAATCACCACGTGTTTGCGCCAGAGTCTAGCAGTGGTGTTACCCCCCCCCCCCCCCACATGAAGGCAGCGGTTCCCTGTTTAAAAATCACCACATTCCACCAGTAGTAGTAGTAGTAGTAGTAGTAGTAGTAGTAACTCTATGCCCCTCCCTTTCCCTCGTCTATTACAGGAGTTCACCCAGTCGTGTGTACGCATGGACGCCAAAAAGAGACCCACGGCCCACGACCTGCTGTTTCACAGGGTTCTGTTTGAGGTGCACTCTCTCAAGCTGCTGGCTGCCCATTGCTTTATCAACTATCAGTGTGAGTAATGTCGCATCGGAGAGGTACATTTTACATTCCTGACACAATTGGTTGAGAAACATCCCACCATCTCTTTTCAGTCTCATGTTCCAAAATTTGAAATTTTGTTTTATTTTATTTTTACATCGGATAAAAGTACAGACTCAGAGCGTCAAAATGGCATATCATACACTGTAGATGGAGGAAACATGGAAGAAATGCTGCTTTAAAAGTTGATAAATGGTCCTCTGTAGCTCAGCTGGTAGAGCACGGCGCTTGTAACGCCAAGGTAGTGGGTTCGATCCCCGGGACCACCCCATACACAAAAATGTATGCACGCATGACTGTAAGTCGCTTTGGATAAAAGCGTCTGCTAAATGGCTTATTATTATTATTATTATTATTATTATTATTTATCCCATTTAGGAGAAAAGGGCATTTAAACATTTCACACTTGCTCTACATCAGTGTTTCCCAAACTCAGTCCTGGGGACCCCAAATGGTGCACGTTTTGGTTTTTGCCTAGCACTAGACAGCTGATTCAAATAATCAAAGCTTGATGATTAGTTGATTATTTGAATGAGCTGTGTAGTGCTTGGGGCTCCCGAGTGGCGCAGCGGTCTAAGGCACTGCATCTCAGTGCTTGAGGCGTCACTACAGACCCCCTGGTTCGATTCCAGGCTGTATCACAACCGGCCGTGATTGGGAGTCCCATAGGGCGGCGCACAATTGGCCCAGCGTCATCCGGGTTTGGCCGGTGTAGGCCGTCATTGTAAATAAGAATTTGTTTTTAACTGACTTGCCTAGTTAAATAAATAAAAAATAGGGCAAAAAGCTAAATGTGCACCCCTTGGGGTCGCCAGGACTGAGTTCTGGAAACGCTGCACTACATCAATCCTTGGGAAACTTATAGATTTAGAAAATGAATACTTTCGCCAAAATTGATTCTCTGAACATTATCTCACCAAGTTAACCCATTAGGCAAACCATTTACAGTGTTAATTTGCCTACTGTTGTATAAAAAAGATAACTTTTCACATTGAACAGCTCCTTGTTAGCGCCCATTTAGCATCGTTCACATACTCCTAAACCCTTAAGGCTTGATTGATTAGTTGATTATTTGAATGAGCTGTGTAGTGCTTGGGGCTCCCGATTGGCATGCTTGCTTCCCAGCCGAAACAGTTCGTTTGTGCATATGTATATTATGACAACATTTTGTGATGTTTTAGACTTCGATTCGTTTTTTTTTTTTTCAGGAGGCAAGGGATTCTTCAATAAAGTCTTTGTTGTCATTCAACGAGAGACGACTTGTTTTCATGCACATTTTGTCATTGAAAAATACTGCACCAAACATCTTTAGTTAGATGTAAAATTGCACGACTAAAATCTCTTAAGGCAAAAAACGTCAAAATTTAATGACAGATTTCTTGAGTTCTCTTAGATTGATTCTGACTATTTTGAGGAAGGGTATACTGGCTATGGCGTCTCAAAATGGACAAACAGTACTATTGCCGCTTTCTTTCTTGTTTTTCAAGCGAAGGTCTTTAAGGGAGTATTCGAGCACACTCGTTCGGCATGCTCACACCTTTAGACCCACCCATCTTTTTAAAGAATTCACATTGGAACACGTGACTGTGGACATGTGCTAAAGCAGTGAGGTAGTGCTTAAAAAAACAAAGATTTAAACAAAATACTTTATTAACTTCAAGTGCTAGGTAGTGCAAGATAGTAGCCTACACAAAAGGTAAAAACATTATCTAGACCTAGGCCTATATCGTAAGATCATTTTGAGTAACTTTGGTTCAGGTTATGTATGATATGAACAAAGGAATCTAGCCTGAGAGCATATTTCTGTCCTGCCCTTTGAATCAGGACATGTAATGTCCATGGCTTTTTCATTGCAAAAGTCCTGATCTTCTCAAAAAGATATGTTTGTCGGGTTGTGTCCAGTCTGGGGTATGCCTTCACATCTCTGGGAGGAAGGAGGTGAATATTGCACAGCAATGAGTGAAAGCAAAACCAGGATCCAGACAATTAACGCTGTAAAGGAGGAAAGCAGACAAAAATAGACAAGACATTAAAACGTTTTGAATACCAGCAATAACATTCATTGACCCCCAAGTTCAAGCAATAAGCTCAATGTACAAAGACAAAATACCTGAAGTGTTGCTTGTTCACCCTCGATCATCTCCTTGGTGGCGGAGAGCCGCTGGAAGACAAATTCCAGAAATGGGTTAAAACAATAATTAATTAATGTCCCATAGCTTGTTATTGCCTGTTGAATACTACAGCGGTACTAAAATGCCCCGTACACACTTACGCTTCCAACACACCGGCTGCGTCTTTTACGTTTTGGTACACCAGAAGTACATTCATTTCCAATGGAACGCTGCGATTGCCTTGCAGCATTGCGTTGCAGAGGCAGTTGCAGTGTGTTCTGTGTGGTGCATACGTTGGATTTATCGAACGTATGCATCAAAAACTGTATGCGTAAACGGGTTGACAGAAATGATAGCAGAAGGTGAATGTTGAACTTTTGTTGCACACATATCTAGATGATCCTGCATATAGCATACTATTTTGCGTAATGACACAGTCGTGTGTTCAAAGCCTTACACCTCGATCACACTGACAGTGTCTTGCGCAAAATGGTACGCTGCATCATCTGGATATGTGTGCAACAAAAGTTCAACATTCACCTTCTGCTAGCATTTCTGTCAAGCCATGTCCGCATACAGTTTGATGCATACGTTCGATAAATCCAACGTATGCACCACACAGAACGAACTGCCTCTGCAACGCAATACTGCAAGGCAATCGCAGCGTTCCATTGGAAATTAATGTACTTCTGCTGTACCAAAACGTAAACACTGTCGGTGTGATTGAGGCGTTAACCTGCTTCCAGCCCAACAATGGCAATGCAGACACTACAAGAGAACTAAATTAAGCAAAAAAAGAAATGTCCTCTCACTGTCAACTGCGTTTATTTTCAGCAAACTTAACATGTGTAAATATTTGTATGAACATAAGATTCAACAACTGAGACATAAACTGAACAAGTTCCACAGACATGTGACTTTGAATCTTATTGAAAAATTGAATAATGTGTCCCTGAACATTTTTACATTTTAGTCATTTAGCAGACGCTCTTATCCAGAGCGACTTACAGTTAGTGAGTGCATACAATACATTATTTATTAATTTTTTCATACTGGCCCCCCGTGGGAATCGAACCCACAACCCTGGCGTTGCAAACGCCATGCTCTACCAACTGAGCTCCATCCCTGCCAGCCATTCCCTCCCTACCCTGGACGACGCTGGGCTAATTGTGTGCCGCCTATTTGTACACTATCTTCTTAAAAGCGTATTTTAAACCTAACCTTAACCACACTGATAACCTTATGCATAACCCTAACCTTAAATTAAGATCAACAAACACATTTTTGTTTTCATTATCTTTTACGATATAGCCTATTTTTACTTTGAGGCTGTCGTAACTAGTGACAACCTATCACGAGCTCCAACCGCAAAAGTAAACATTTCCGTAATAGTGTGGCTGTTTTATAACTAATTACGGCTTAATTGAATGAAAAAGCTAAGTGCCAAAGTTGATTTATAATAGGTTTATCAAGCTAATGAATCATTTAGTGTACTCGTACCAGCCTACTTTACTGGTAGCTAGGGTGCTAAGGGGGGGTCAAAATCAAAAGTAACAGATAGTATCTGGTGTGGCAACTAGCTGCATTAAGTACTGCAGTGCATCTCCTCCTCATGGACTGCACCAGATTTGCCAGTTATTGCTGTGAGATGTTACCCCACTCTTCCACCAAGGCACCTGCAAGTTCCTGGACATTTCTAGGGGGAATGGCCCTAGCCCTCACCCTCCAATCCAACAGGTCCCAGACGTGCTCAATGGGATTGAGATCCGGGCTTTTCGCTGGCCATGGCAGAACACTGACATTCCTGTCTTGCAGGAAATCACGCACAGAACGAGCAGTATGGCTGGTAGCATTATCATGCTGGAGGGTCATGTCAGGATGAGCCTGCAGGAAGGGTACCACATGAGGGAGGAGGATGTCTTCCCTGTAACGCACAGCGTTGGGATTTCCTGCAATGACAACAAGCTCAGTCCGCCCCAGACCATGACGGACCCTCCACCTCCTATGGGTTTGTGCCCATAGGTGACGTTGTTGCCGGTGATGTCTGTTGAGGACCTGCCTTTAAAACAGGTCTACACGCCCTCAGTACAGCCTCTCTCAGCCTATTGCGGACAGTCTGAGCACTGATGGAGGGATTGTGTGTTCCTGGTGTAACTCGGGCAGTTGTTGTTGCCAACTTGTACCTGTCCCGCAGGTGTGATGTTCGGATGTACTGATCCTGTGCAGGTGTTGTTACATGTGGTCTGCCACTGCGAGGACGATCAGCTGTCCGTCCGGTCTCCCTGTAGCGCGGTCTTAGGCGTCTCACTGTTTATTTATGAAATGTATTGCCCTGTCCACATCTGCAGTCCTCATGCCTCCTTGCAGCATGCCTAAGGCACGTTCATGCAGATGAACAGGGATCCTGGGCATCTTTCTTTTGGTGTTTTTCAGAGTCAGTAGAAAGGCCTCTTTAGTGTCCTAAGTTTTCATAACTGTGACCTTAATTGCCTACCGTCTGTAAGCTTAGTGTCTTAACGACCGTTCCACAGGGTGCATGTTCATTAATTGTTTATGGTTCATTGAACAAGCATGGGAAACAGTGTTTAACTCCTTTAAAATGAAGATCTGTGAAGTTATTTGGATTTTTAGGAATTCTCTTTGAAAGACAGGGTCCTGAAAAAGAGACGTTTCTTTTTTTTGCTGAGTTTAGCTAGATTTAGCAAACATTTAGATTCTTAATTACCAGCTGGCTAGATGTAAATGGTATTCATCTAGCTAGCCAGCTAGTTGAGCATGCAAAAATATTACTTCAATCTATATAATCCAATAGCTAGCTAACGTTAGCTATTTAGCTATCATGTCATTGTGGCTAGCTAGCCAACTTAGCATGTGTCCCTATCACTTAAAATGGGGTTTGATTAGCATTCGCACCACAGTGGCTATTTTCGATAGTTCGCTAGTTAAACTGGCAAACATGACAAATATTATCATCATGTCATCTATAGCTTAGCACATCAGCAATCAACATTAACAGCAGAATGCAACTGGCTAGCTGGCTATAACGTTGCTTCGTCCCGCAAGGAGCCATCTGTAAACAATGGCTCGTTGAGGGACGAAGCAATCTATAACGGTACCTGTATGCAGCTGTCTAGCTAGCTAGCTATATAGCTAACAATAGCTAGCAATGAAAACTACTTTTTGGATATAGTTGAGACAGCTACATCATGCACATGCGTTATTATCTTGGAATTTTAACTGTAGACTCTTACCGGTGTATGGATTATGATGATTCACGGCAGACTGAAACACTTTCAAAATGATCCTTCCCACTCGGCTTCAACCAGTCCAGACTGCATTAGCCCCAGAAGACAGAGCTGTGTCGATACCAGCAGCAGTATTCAGGACAACACTGGTATTGAAAGCTGTAGCTACACTTTGCATGGAGTCCATGATGGAAAATATGATTAAATCCAATGGATCGTTGTAATGTCCGCGGTAGCAGAGAGCAGGATGCGCCATTTGACAGACAAGCCTTGAGAGACAGAATGGACTCCTTTCTTGTGAATGTCCCAGCCCACTCATTATCTCAACCAATCATGGCTAGGCATTTTCTCAGCGTCTAAACAGCTTCGTGATTTCACATTTTGGTATTTATATTTACAGATTAGTTTGTTATGGCACATAAAAGTTCACATGCTCAAAAAGGCACTTCTGCAAAAAAAAATGCATTTATATGGAGGGGGGGAAAAAAACGTTTTTTTTATGTTCAAATGCCTCTCCTGTGAAGTAGTGACATCTGTCATACACCCAGCTTTCTGAAAGGGGTCACAAATACAATGTTTTAGGATTTTGTTAATTAGTCCACTGTGAATACAATCCCACATTTCTTTTTCAGGTTAGGAGTCAAATATCCCTTTGACTCTTGTCACATTAAAAAAGTTGAAGATTTCTCTTCTAGAGGTCAATAAAATGAAATAAAGTCTCCATATGAATCACATAACGGCAGTCTTAAATGCACTCCCTCTTAACAGATCAGCTTCATGATAACTGCCTAGAAGAGAAGACCAGGACTTTCGACCCCAATGGTGTGATGGCTGAGATCAAGCATGGGGACCGGCCCGGGGTGGAGATCAAGTAAGGATCGAGCAAAACCTGTCCCCAGGCAGAGACCCCAAGGTCTGTATGATTGATTGAGGTGATTTGTTGATAGTACTCATGCTGTCACATTTCTCATTGTTTCCTAAAGGTACTCTAATGTTTCCCCGCTAGAACTGGACAAATTCCTGGAAGACGTCAAGTAAGTGTGGGCGCTGGAGGACATATTGGGTCAAAGGTCATTTGATTTAATTTATTTTATAGTTAAAAGTGGAAGGCTGCTCCAGCCGGAGACGACGTTACATACATTCATAATGATCAAGGATATAAACAGAATAAAGCCCTTAAAGGCTTATTTCCATTGTGGTCCTCTTATTTGATATTGTCCATCAAGACTGGATCCTGTTCAGACAATGAGGGCCTGGTGTGCTAGGCATTTACCCCAGTGCTTTTTTTTTTTTTTTCTTTCAAGAAGGAATAAAGCATAGGAAGGAGGGGATGCAATTTAAAGGTGGAATAAACTGTGTACCCAAACCTTTGTTGATTACGGTAATCTAATTTAGTCTAATTGCTTTTGGTCTGCACATCATCAAATGTTATGGGTGTGCATCTGCAGCTCATATATCTGGTATAAACAAATCAAATGACCTATGATTGGATCCAGATCGGACCTGAGCAGCTTGCGCCAACAACTGGCATTCAGTCGTGTCCTCTTTCCATCTCTTATCTGCTTTGTAATTGGATGGTTATACACATACATTTTGTGTTTATTAGAGTTGTCCACTATTTTATTTAGATTTTAGTCATTTAGCGGACGCTCTTATCCAGAGCGACTTACAGTTAGTGAGTACATACATTTTTCATACTGGCCCCCCGTGGGAATCGAACCCACAACCCTGGCCATGCTCTACCAACTGCGCTGCACTTGTTCCTCGCCACTTGCCAGCCGTCATTGTAAATAAGGATCTGTTCTTAACTGACTCGCCTGGTTTAAATACGAAATTTGATATGATCTACATAGTAAACCTCTTTAATCCTAGGTTTGTCCTACTTTCCAGTTGGATGTTAGAACCCTCCGCTCTGATGGCTGCCATCTCATATGTGTTAACTATATCACTTGACTTCTTCCCCCTTACTAGCCCTTACTTCCCCCTGACTTCCCCCTTACTAGCCCTTACTTCCCCCTGACTTCCCCCTGACTTCCCCCTGACTTCCCTCTGACTTCCCCCTTACTAGCTCTGACTTCCCCCTGACTTCCCCCTTACTAGCTCTGACTTCCCCCTGACTTCCCCCTTACTAGCTCTGACTTCCCCCTGACTTCCCCCTTACTAGCTCTGACTTCCCCCTGACTTCCCCCTTACTAGCTCTGACTTCCCCCTGACTTCCCCCTTACTAGCTCTGACTTCCCCCTGACTTCCCCCTTACTTCCCCCTTACTAGCTCTGACTTCCCCTTTACTAGCCCTTACTTCCCCCTTACCAGCCCTTACTAGCTCTGACTTTGCGGCTAGCTACTTTATTGAGGGAAAAAGTGTACTTACTATGACCGTGATAAGTGGTTGTCTCACTAACTGCAAGTCGCTCTGGATAAGAGTGTCCGTTAAATGACTTAAATGTTTAAAAAAAAACTCAACTCAATTACGTCTATAAGATTTCCCAAGGGACTGTTTTCCCTTTCCCCTTTTCATACTGACTGTGGCATTTAGTTAGTATTTAAAGTAAAGACTGTACATCACATGACTTAACTCATTTAGTCTGTTTTTCAATTGATTGGATTGGATTGGCTCTTTCTGTGCGTATACACTAGGAATGGGATCTATCCCTTGATGAACTTCCAGCGGGGCCTCACCATGCCCCGGACCCTGTCCATCTTCCAGGAGCGCATGGAGACGGTGAAGACTCCTAGCCCAGAGCCCCAGGAGATGGAGACCAGAAAGGTAACCACAATACAGGCAACACCCAATCAAAACGTTGCGGTAAACAATTAACATCTAAACAGTCTCTTTAACTGGCAACCGGAAGGCTGCTGGTTTTAGATACCAGATGGTACCATCTTCTGCCGTTGTGCCCTTAAGCAAGACACTTAGGCACTAAAATAGTGTGTTTGTGAGTCGTCTGTGAGGCAGAGCGGAATAACAATTTCTACTCTATGCTTTAGTCTAATTAACCTTCTTGTCTGCTTTCAATTACAGGTGGTCCCCTATTGTAATGAAATCAGTTTAGCTAATGTTTTCCCTCTATGTCCTGCTTTAAACTGTACAGGTTGTCCAAATGCATTGTAACTTAGAGTTCGCTGATGAAGGTACCAGAAGTCATGTGAGTTTGGCCCATGTTTATTTTCATCTACAGAACTTACACTTTAAAAGGAAGAAAGATTTGTTGCTGAAATGTGAAAAGAGTCCGAGCTTTTATAACTATACAAAAATAATTGCACGATAAAACATTTCCTTGTCCATGGTTTGTGTGGTCTAGTGGTTAGTGGCCGTGGTTTGTGTGGTCTAGTGGTTAGTGGCCGTGGTTTGTGTGGTCTAGTGGTTAGTGGCCATGGTTTGTGTGGTCTAGTGGTTAGGGGCCATGGTTTGTGTGGTCTAGTGGTTAGTGGCCATGGTTTGTGTGGTCTAGTGGTTAGGGGCCATGGTTTGTGTGGTCTAGTGGTTAGTGGCCATGGTTTGTGTGGTCTAGTGGTTAGTGGCCGTGGTTTGTGTGGTCTAGTGGTTAGTGGCCATGGTTTGTGTGGTCTAGTGGTTAGTGGCCATGGTTTGTGTGGTCTAGTGGTTAGTGGCCATGGTTTGTGTGGTCTAGTGGTTAGTGGCCATGGTTTGTGTGGTTAGTGGCCATGGTTTGTGTGGTCTAGTGGTTAGTGGCCATGGTTTGTGTGGTCTAGTGGTTAGTGGCCATGGTTTGTGTGGTCTAGTGGTTAGTGGCCATGGTTTGTGTGGTCTAGTGGTTAGTGGCCATGGTTTGTGTGGTCTAGTGGTTAGTGGCCATGGTTTGTGTGGTCTAGTGGTTAGTGGCCATGGTTTGTGTGGTCTAGTGGTTAGGGGCCATGGTTTGTGTGGTCTAGTGGTTAGTGGCCATGGTTTGTGTGGTCTAGTGGTTAGGGGCCATGGTTTGTGTGGTCTAGTGGTTAGTGGCCATGGTTTGTGTGGTCTAGTGGTTAGTGGCCATGGTTTGTGTGGTCCAGTGGTTAGTGGCCATGGTTTGTGTGGTCCAGTGGTTAGGGGCCATGGTTTGTGTGGTCTAGTGGTTAGGGGCCATGGTTTGTGTGGTCTAGTGGTTAGGGGCCATGGTTTGTGTGGTCTAGTGGTTAGTGGCCATGGTTTGTGTGGTCTAGTGGTTAGTGGCCATGGTTTGTGTGGTCTAGTGGTTAGTGGCCATGGTTTGTGTGGTCTAGTGGTTAGTGGCCATGGTTTGTGTGGTCTAGTGGTTAGTGGCCATGGTTTGGTGTGGTCTAGTGGTTTAGTGACCATGGTTTGTGTGGTCTAGTGGTTAGTGGCCATGGTTTGTGTGGTCTAGTGGTTAGGGGCCATGGTTTGTGTGGTCTAGTGGTTGGTGGCCATGGTTTGTGTGGTCTAGTGGTTAGTGGACCATGGTTTGTGTGGTCCTAGTGGTTATGGGGCCATGGTTGTGTGGTCTAGTGGTTAGTGGCCATGGTTGTGGTAGTGGTTAGTGGCCATGGTTTGTGTGGTTTAGTGGTTAGTGGCCATGGTTTGTGTGGTCTAGTGGTTAGTGGCCATGGTTTGTGTGGTCTAGTGGTTAGTGGCCATGGTTTGTGTGGTCTAGTGGTTAGTGGCCATGGTTTGTGTGGTCTAGTGGTTAGTGGCCATGGTTTGTGTGGTCTAGTGGTTAGGGGCCATGGTTTGTGTGGTCTAGTGGTTAGGGGCCATGGTTTGTGTGGTCTAGTGGTTTAGTGGCCATGGTTTGTGTGGTCTAGTGGTTAGTGGCCATGGTTTGTGTGGTCTAGTGGTTAGGGGCCATGGTTTGTGTGGTCTAGTGGTTAGTGGCCATGGTTTGTGTGGTCTAGTGGTTAGTGGCCATGGTTTGTGTGGTCTAGTGGTTAGTGGCCATGGTTTGTGTGGTCTAGTGGTTAGGGGCCATGGTTTGTGTGGTCTAGTGGTTAGGGGCCATGGTTTGTGTGGTCTGTGGTTAGGGGCCATGGTTGTGTGGTCTAGTGGTTAGGGGCCATGGTTTGTGTGGTCTAGTGGTTAGGGCCATGGTTTGTGTGGTCTAGTGGTTAGTGGCCATGGTTTGTGTGGTCTAGTGGTTAGTGGCCATGGTTTGTGTGGTCTAGTGGTTAGTGGCCATGGTTTGTGTGGTCTAGTGGTTAGTGGCCATGGTTTGTGTGGTCTAGTGGTTAGGGGCCATGGTTTGTGTGGTCTAGTGGTTAGTGGCCATGGTTTGTGTGGTCTAGTGGTTAGTGGCCATGGTTTGTGTGGTCTAGTGGTTAGTGGCCATGGTTTGTGTGGTCTAGTGGTTAGTGGCCATGGTTTGTGTGGTCTAGTGGTTAGTGGCCATGGTTTGTGTGGTCTAGTGGTTAGGGGCCATGGTTTGTGTGGTCTAGTGGTTAGGGGCCCATGGTTTGTGTGGTCTAGTGGTTAGGGGCCATGGTTTGTGTGGTCTAGTGGTTAGTGGCCATGGTTTGTGTGGTCTAGTGGTTAGTGGCCATGGTTTGTGTGGTCTAGTGGTTAGGGGCCATGGTTTGTGTGGTCTAGTGGTTAGGGACCATGGTTTGTGTGGTCTAGTGGTTAGTGGGCCATGGTTTGTGTGGTCTAGTGGTTAGTGGCCATGGTTTGTGTGGTCTAGTGGTTAGTGGCCATGGTTTGTGGGGTCTAGTGGTTAGTGGCCATGGTTTGTGTGGTCTAGTGGTTAGGGGCCATGGTTTGTGTGGTCTAGTGGTTAGGGGCCATGGTTTGTGTGGTCTAGTGGTTAGGGGGCCATGGTTTGTGTGGTCTAGTGGTTTAGGGGCCATGGTTTGTGTGGTCTAGTGGTTTAGGGGCCATGGTTTGTGTGGGTCTAGTGGTTAGGGGCCATGGTTTGTGTGGTCTAGTGGTTAGGTGGCCATGGTTTGTGTGGTCTAGTGGTTAGGGGCCATGGTTGTGTGTGGTCTAGTGGTTAGTGGCCATGGTTTGTGTGGGTCTAGTGGTTTAGTGGCCATGGTTTGTGTGGTCTAGTGGTTAGTGGCCATGGTTTGTGGTGGTCTAGTGGTTAGTGGCCATGGTTTGTGTGGTCTAGTGGTTAGTGGCCATGGTTTGTGTGGTCTAGTGGTTAGGGGCCATGGTTTTGTGTGGTCTAGTGGTTAGGGGCCATGGTTTGTGTGGTCTAGTGGTTAGGGGCCATGGTTTGTGTGGTCTAGTGGTTAGGGCCCATGGTTTGTGTGGTCTAGTGGTTAGTGGCCATGGTTTGTGTGGTCTAGTGGTTAGGGGCCATGGTTTGTGTGGTCTAGTGGTTAGGGGCCATGGTTTGTGTGGTCTAGTGGTTAGGGGCCATGGTTTGTGTGGTCTAGTGGTTAGTGGCCATGGTTTGTGTGGTCTAGTGGTTAGGGGCCATGGTTTGTGTGGTCTAGTGGTTAGGGACCATGGTTTGTGTGGTCTAGTGGTTAGGGGCCATGGTTTGTGTGGTCTAGTGGTTAGTGGCCATGGTTTGTGTGGTCTAGTGGTTAGTGGCAAAGGTTTGTGTGGTCTAGTGGTTAGGGGCCATGGTTTGTGTGGTCTAGTGGTTAGGGGCCATGGTTTGTGTGGTCTAGTGGTTAGGGGCCATGGTTTGTGTGGTCTAGTGGTTAGGCGCCATGGTTTGTGTGGTCTAGTGGTTAGTGGCCATGGTTTTTGTGGTCTAGTGGTTAGTGGCCATGGTTTGTGTGGTCTAGTGGTTAGGGGCCATGGTTTGTGTGGTCTAGTGGTTAGGGGCCATGGTTTGTGTGGTCTAGTGGTTAGTGGCCATGGTTTGTGTGGTCTAGTGGTTAGGGGCCATGGTTTGTGTGGTCTAGTGGTTAGGGGCCATGGTTTGTGTGGTCTAGTGGTTAGGGGCCATGGTTTGTGTGGTTAGGGGCCATGGTTTGTGTGGTCTAGTGGTTAGTGGCCATGGTTTGTGTGGTCTAGTGGTTAGGGGCCATGGTTTGTGTGGTCTAGTGGTTAGGGGCCATGGTTTGTGTGGTCTAGTGGTTAGGGGCCATGGTTTGTGTGGTCCATGGTTTGTGTGGTCTAGTGGTTGTGGCCATGGTTTTGTGTGGTCTATGTGGTTAGGGGGCCATGTGGTTGTGTTCTAGTGGTTATTCCATGGTTTGTGTGGTCTAGTGGTTAGGGGCCATGGTTTGTGTGGTCTAGTGGTTAGTGCTGCAGACCCAGGCACTCACATACAGTATGCACGAGAGTTGGCATTGGTTCAAATCTGACCCAGTGCGCACTCGCACCTCTCTTTTTATAACAGCTAATAAAACCAATTAAATAAATAAAAATATGCAAGGAATGATAAAATACATTTCCTAAACTTTTAATTCTCTCTTTTTGGCTGCAGCTCTCTCTCCTCCTGAAGATGGACGACAAGCTCCAACGCCAGCTAAACTGTGATGTGCTGCCCAGTGAGTCAATCCAACGTTCCACAAAGTTATTGTAATGTTATTGTGTACCTTTTTTTTGACGTCATATTAACCAAACAGGAGGATATAAGTGCAACTTCTGGTCCTATGGGCTGGGTAAACTGGTTTCGGAGACCTTTCAAAAACAGCTTGTGGTGTAACGTGGCACGGTTGGAGTTCATGTTCTTGACAAGGCAATGTGTGGTACAGTAAAAAGAAACAGTCACTAACTTATGGAATTAGGCTAAGACTCCACTGTGGATCAACATATAACTCTAAGTTACAATGCATTTGGACAACCTGTACAATTTAAAGCAGGACATAGAGGGAAAACATTAGCTAAACTGATTTCATTACAATAGGGGACCACCTGTAATTGAAAGCAGACAAGAAGGTTAATTAGACTAAAGCATAGAGTAGAAATTGTTCTTCTGCTCTGCTTGGTATCAGTTACTAGGTAATTAACAACCACATGCCAATATACAGAAGGGCTGTTACAAGTGCAGATATACAGCGCCATCTTTTGGATTATTCAGAATTTATTATTAAGTAATAATAATAATAATAATATGCCATTTAGCAGACGCTTTTATCCAAAGCGACTTACAGTCATGCGTGCATACATTTTTGTGTATGGGTGGTCCCGGGGATTGAACCCACTACCTTGGCGTTACAAGCGCCGTGCTCTACCAGCTGAGCTACAGTGACTCTCAGTAGATCTCTTGCAGTTTTAAAGGGGAAGTTCAGGATTTTATTTGATGTTAGATGTTTCCTCACCCTGAAAGTAGTCTATGGGCCAGGAAAAACTGGAATCTTGTGTTTTGGTTTTCTTTAAACAGCCACTACAAACATCAGCAACTGCTAGCAAAAAAATCTATGGGAGTGAAAGGGGACCCTTTAACTGTAGGACTGGATGAGGAGCTTTATATATTAAGGTTTGTGGTGGCTGTTTGTGTTTTCCAATTTAGCTGACAGCGCCAAAGACCTGGCTAGTGAGCTGGTTTACTTCGCCTTCATCAGTGAGGTAAGTGGAGTGGATATGAAGACAGGGATGAAATAAACTCAACCCAGGCCAGCCTTGAATCTGTCATATTTATACATAAGATATCAATACAAAAACAACAATACTTAAGTATTTTTCATTTTTCTGGTTATTACTTTGAAGAATTTGACACCATTGATAATTACCTGGTACCAAATGGTGCCTAGTGGGACTTATTTGAATGAATCCCAAAGAATCAAACGTTTTATAGATAGCTTATTACTATGTAACTACCATTTTACCAGGTCCCATTTTAGTAAATACCTGGTCATTGTACCTTAAAATAAAGTGCAACCAAATATTGTCCCTAATGTAACCCCTTTGTTCCTGTCTCTCGTTTCTTCAGGAGGACTGTGAGAAGCTGGCAGGCTTTCTGGAAGACGCCCTGTGTAAGCATTGGTCCAGGCCGCCACTGGAGGAGTCTTCCCTGGCATAGTGACGAAGTACCGAGACACCTGCTGCTGCCCCGAAGGGGGATCTGGAGCCTGGACCCTGGGAAATTAGTGAGGGAACTTTAAGAGGGTCAAAATGAAATATGAAATGCCAGACTTAAGTCTGGGCATAATTTTTTTTTTTTTTTTTTTTTTGGTGCTGCTTGTAAGGGAAGAGAACCAAGTCAGAGCTTCAGTCTGTGTGGCAGATGTAAAGCATCAAGAAAGGCTGTCTCAAAACAGAAGTGATCTCTCTTTCTACTAAACAGAAGTGCCAACCAACTCAAGCCAGATAACACTACGCTAGGAGAGCTACTATGTTTGGTCACTTCAATGCCTCAGTCTCTCAGCACAGATGATGTCAATGGCCTTGTTTAGAATATCTATTGAAAGAGTATAGCAAGAGAGAATAAGCAATACGAGGAACATGAAGGTCTTCAACATTACTGCTGCATTAAGGAGGCCTTTTACTGTCTCAAAATGCCAATAATTTTTTTACAATTTTGTCCATATTTATTAACGTGTCCTTTAATAATAACCCAATGGGCTCCATTTTACATACGCAGCGCAGCATTGGCAGTGACCCCATAAAAAAAAAAATGTATATATAAAACTCGCAATACCATGCAGGGTGAGGGTAGGGCAGACACGTTGAGATTTTGTGTCCGAAGATTCCGAATTGAGCCAATGGTTTTTCAGTGGTAGGCATCCTCTGCAGGATGAATGACAACTTAGATGATTGTCCGGCCAAAAAAAAACTCACAATATGTTTGCCTTGTACATATGCATCTCGTCCCAAAAAAGTAGGGATTAGTTAAATTTATGATAGACAAAAACGGACAAGGATGTACGGCCTATACATTTTATCCGTGTTCATGCGTCTCTGTTAGGGTTGAATATTTTCCCGGTATTTTACAAATGTTCCATCCTGAGAATAAATCACTTTTCTCCCGGGTAACCCGGTATTTCCCGCCAAAACCGTAAGTGTCATTCAAAAGCACTATAAAGTGTATAAATATGCCTGTGTCTGGATTTGATTAGCGCTTCGATCGAAAGTTCAAGCCTGATGCTACCTGAGCCTGATGAGCCATACATTAAAGACGTTTTATGAGCCCTACATTAAAGACATTTAATGAGCCCGAGCACAAAAAAGCCCAAATGCTTGTGCCGTTATCCAATACATATACGATGTAGGCTACTGCACATTAAGCACGACAGAAAAACATAAAAGCCCATAGATGTAGCTAGCTATATGCTGTTTTGGGTAAATAAATTAAACTAGCTCCAGTAAGCTAATATTTTTGAGTGAACTGTTTTACTGTATTGTATTATACTGTATTATATGGACTGGAATTACGCACGTCGTTCAAACCATGATAAAGCAGAAGAGAACATGTGACTCTGGTGCACCACATGCTGCCTACAAAGTTACCAGTATAGGCTAGCAAATTTGATTTTAATTTGGAAATATAATAGGGCCTATTTGTATAATTAGTAGACTGACGCATATATTTTTCATAATATTTCCCCTAATGTTATTAGCCAACCTCTTTCTCTCTCTATTGTTGCTTCATTCCTTCCTCGCGTTCAACAGTTAAATGAAATACGTTTTGTTGTCCTTATCTTCATCATTCTAATGACATCCTTGAATATAACAGGACTAGAATTAGATGCAGAAGGCTTTCACTTCTCGTCATGAAGACTGAATGGTTATGGGTCTGAATAAATAACTACTATAGCCTACCGACATCGCGCTTTCGCTCTTCTTTCAAACTACCTACGAGTTCTACTGGCTGCTGTATTTACCGTTCAGCAAACAAGAGCTTGTGTCCCTCTTTGAATAGTCTATTGGTATAAGAAATGGAGAAAAAATAAATAAATAAAAATGTCCAGCAAGGTATTCTGGTGTAGCTTTTTCCTGCATTGGACTCCAAGAGCTAAGGAGCGTTTTTTTAAGGAGAGAGGCCAGTGGAGCACAGGTGCGTGCGTGTTGCGCAAGAGACAGAGGCTATAAGTTAGAAGCTTATTATGCATAACCCATCATTCATTAGCTAAATATAAGGCTAATACTGCAGTGAATGTGTTACCTGAAAGAGGTAGGCTAGGACATCTATATATAGGGCTATATATCAATCTAGAACAGGATCTATTTTGGATGCAATTTGAATGGAGTTGATAGAGAGAGAGACTGTGAGAGTGCTCGCGCGTGCACTGATTTTAAAGCAACGATATTCGAGTGATAGGCTGTTTTAAAACTGAAGCTGCAAATATATATATATATATCTACTGATGGGTTGTCTGTCCCCACGCTGAGCGTTGATTCATCATGCAGAGGCCGAAGAGAAGACAGATTTAGACATTGCGTTTAACGGTTCCATTCACGCCATGCTGTTCATATAAATAATTTATTATAATTTACCGGTTTCTCAGTTATTTATCCCGGGAAAAGGGAGTGGTTTTGGGCGGTAACCGGGTTCTCGCCATTCAACCCTAGTCTCGGTGTGGCCGTTCCCTTATGCATGTTGTAACTTTTCTTTTGCGACGTCTGAGAAAGCACAGATTATTGAACCAGCATTGAAGCACATAACACTAAAATGTGCGTAATTCAATCGCAATGATTATTTTTCAAATGTTACTGTTTGTTAGTGCGAGGCTACGCTGCGTATGTATATCACCCAGTATGTTTTAATCTTATAAGGCTACAAACAAGATGCACAAAATTAGCATGCATGTTGTATTGCTTTGTTACTTTCCAATCATGACCACCTCACCGCAAGTGTTAGTCTTTCATAGGTCACACTCTATGACCATCACCGTTTCTGAGGAGACTGTGTTCCCGGCAGGCAAAACTGACATCATGGAACAAGGATGTTTTGTTAACGTCTTTTTAGCAAACTAAATAATGTGTTCATCTGGTTGCAATATAGCTTCTGACCAAACCGCAACCAAAATATACCGTCTTTCCCATTTAAGTCTTTACCTTGTCATGAAAACATTTTCTCGGTTTCTTACTTTACCTGGTTGTAACAGAGACCAGTTGGTTGTAATCTGGTTATATAACATCTTCTCAACCAGAAAACTAGTTAACAACCAGAAAGTCATAAAGACACCATGAGCCAAATATTGTCCACTGGGTTGATACCGTAAAACCAAACACTACTTCTGCCTTTGTGTGTTTGGGGCCGACCTAACACCTTTGCTCAATTGCAGGGAAAGTCTGGGTTAACTGCAGATCTTCCTTATTATATATCAGACATTGAACCTGTGAAAGTAGCTCTGTTTATAAAACTGGAGACAATATAATAATTTGCCAGCAATCCCTAACACGCTATGCTGTGTTTCTCTTTCAAAGAATGAAAACCTTATCCCCTATCATGCTGCGAGGAAGACTTGCCTCACAATTTGAATTCATACAGTTTTCTGCCTCATTGATCTGATCATCATTCGACCGATCTTAAGATTTTGTCTCTGTCCTTAATGTCTTTCAGTGGAAAGTCATAGGCATACAAGAGCTTCTGAATTCAATTCGCTGATGAGAAATGTACCTTTTGAACTATGAATTGTCATTTTCTTAAGTCATAACTTGCAACATGCCCCTCCCATGTTGCTGCATGTTCTGGTCTGGATGGACAGCTGTTATATGGATCCACATGGGAATATTAATTTTGGTGTTTTGCATTTGCTGAAAGGTCAATATTGTTTTTAACTTTGTTTTCAATCAGATAAGCTACACTATGGAAATGTAGTTGCTAATTATTTACCTCAGATTTTAGCTTGTTGACTGTATGGTTCATTATACATGCATGACATACTATTAATCCATATTTTAGCTGCAATCAAGCCCAAGTGCCTCCCTATACACTAGCGGTAGCGTTTTCCCAAACTCTGTCCTCGGGACCCCCCCTGGGTGCACGTTTTGGTCTAGCACTACACAGCTGACTCAAATAATCAAAGCTTGATGATTAGTTGATTATTTGCGTTTCGCTGTGTAATGCTAGGGCAAAAAACAAAGCATGCACCCCTTGGGGTTCAGAGGACAGAGTTTGGGGAAACCCTGAACTAGTGTTACACAAACCAACTTCAATGCAATTTTAGTTGCCATTGAGCTCCCGTGTTGGGCTGCATGCATGAGCCTCAAGTTCCATTTGTAAGCCAGCATTCATTTAGGACACTTCATGCCATGGATTTTTTTAAAACCATTGTGGGTTCTGTTCCGCTTTAACTATTATCAGATACTGCTTACGTTGTAATATCTACTTGATTCTGATGTATAACCGTCCAGTTTTATCAAAATCAATGTGCTGGCATGTTGTTGTATGATGAATGTTAAACTAATTTGATCAAATGTAATCTTTGTTACTCAGTTGCCATAACTGGTCGGTACCTCCGTTGACCTTTTTTGGGGTCAAACATGTCCTGTCCACACTGTATACAGGAGTGGATGTCTGAGTTGCATTGTGGGCTTGCCAGAAATGCAACTTTCTGTATTCTGACTGGAGCACAACCAAGTCACTCTAGCCCTGTTTATACCTGGTGTCTATGTTATACATTTTTAAGTCTACGTTCCATATTGTAGACAATGATCATCTTCTTGGTCAAATTTGGAGGGGTGTTCAATACATTTTGGATGAGGCTGTACCATCGATACCAGAAGAATGTACACATCCTCATCCTTTCAGTCCCTTTCAGTGAAATTACAGCTCTCCTTGTATCGAGTTGCTTCTGCCTTGTTCTGTTTGTACGACTCATGTAAAATATTGTACAATAAAAGTATTAATGAATATAGGAGAGGCGATAACAACACTGCTTCTTGAAAATCTGGAGCTGAGCTGTGGCCTGTTTTTTGACACTTTTACACTCACGGATCTGCCATTCTTCACATCAAACACAACATGAAGCCTAATCCCGTTCAAAAGACACTTCCACCAAATGCTTCGGAAGGTCTGGTGCGTCAACTGTGGCCTTCGTTAATCGAAAATAGAAAAAAAATCCCGACCCACAGCCATTGGCTTTATCTTTAGGGTTCTGGAGCACCCTGCCTCGGATTCATTGAAAATTAGTTTATAGTCCTGGAGGAGTTGAAATCATATCAACTCAAATATTACAAAATAACTTTAATACAATACATTTAAGACTAGCATACTCACTACACTGTATGTGCGCTTATTTACTGACTAGCAGTCAGATTAACTTCATACAAGTCATCTCACAGACTAAGCCATTTACTCATTCATTAATCTACACTGAACAAAAATAAACGCAACATGCAACAATTTCAAAGATCTTACTGAGTTACAATTCATATAAGGAAATCAGTCAATTTAAATAAATAAATTAGGCCCTAAACTATGGATTTAACATGACTGGGAATACAGATATGCATCTGTTGGTCACAGATACCTTAAAAAAAAAAGTTTAAAAAAAAAGTAGGGGTGTGGATCAGAAAACCAGTCAGTATCTGGTAAAAAATAAAGAAAAACCCTTGAATGAGTAGGTGTGTCCAAACTTTGGACTGGTACTGTATATAAATACACTACCGGTCAAAAGTTTTAGAACACCTACTCATTCAAGGGTTTTTCTTTATTTTTACTATTTTCTACATGAATAAAAGTGAAGACATCAAAACTATAGGCAGAGTTGCAAAGAAAAGGTCCAGTGTCTGTGTTCTTTTGCCCATCTTAATCTTTTCTTTTTATTGGCCAGTCTGAGAAATGGCTTTTTCTTTGCAACTCTGCCTAGAAGGTCAGCATCCCGGAGTCGCCTCTTCACTGTTGACGTTGAGACTGGTGTTTTGCAGGAACTATTTAATGAAGCTGCCAGTTGAGGACCTGTGAGGCGTCAGTTTCTCAAACTAGACACTCTATTGTATTTGTCCTCTTGCTCAGTTGTCCACCGGGGCCTCCCACTCCTCTTTCTATTCTGGTTAGAGCCAGTTTGCGCTGTTCTGTGAAGGGAGTAGTACACAGCGTTGTACGAGATCTTCCGTTTCTTGGCAATTTCTCACATGGAATAGCCTTCATTTCTCAGAACAAGAACAGACGAGTTTAAGAAGAAAGTTATTTGTTTATGGCCATTTTGATCTTGTAATCGAACCCACAATTGCTGATGCTCCAGATACTCAACTAGTCTCAAGAAGGCCAGTTTTATTGCTTCTTTAATCAGCACAACAGTTTTCAGCTGTGCTAACATAATTGCAAAAGGGTTTTCTAATGATCAATTAGCCTTTTAAAATGATAAACTTGGATTAGCAAACAACATACCATTGGAACACAGGACTGATGGTTGCTGATAATGGGCCTCTGTACGTCTATGTAGATATTCCATAAAAAAATCAGCCGTTTCCAGCTACAATAGCCATTTACAACATTAACAATGTCTACACTGTATTTCTGATCAATTTGATGTTATTTTAATGGACAAAAAAAATGCTATTCTTTCGAAAACAAGGACATTTCTAAGTGACCCCAAACTTTTGAACGGTAGTGTATCTCTGTTTGTCACACAAAGGGAAAACAAGAACATTCTTTATTTGGCATTTCACTCAAAGCTGCCAGTTAAGTCCTATGTCATATTCCAGCCCATATACAATTGTTTTGTATACACACATAACATTTACATATCTTACACGGTTTCATTTATAGTAATTCAGACAGTCTGATGACTTGCCATTGCTAAGGCGCCATCATTCAGGATGGAATTCAAACAAAGACACATTGACATCAATCGCACTGCACTGTCGACAATGTGCCTTTTAAAAGGCATTTCCCCCGACGTTCGTGGAGAGATCGCATTCATGACAAACGCTGCAGATGCCAGCTCAAACGTAAATATAAAGTCATAATTTAAAAGTCAAGTGCAATACGCTTGTCGACAAGATACCTTTGCTTGAATTCTGGCCATGGACTTTCTTAATTTAGCCCTGAGGCGTTCCCCTTACATCTTCAGCCAATCTGACAGCAAAACGGACTCCACATTGAAGGAGTGAGATTTCACACAATACAGACAAAAAAACATCACCGGGGTTTCACAGATTAAATTGTTACATGCCCATTGTCAGAAACTGTTTTCAAGCATCCGTTGTGATGTGACAGTGTTATTGCATTTTCTCCTCTTCCTGAGCTAAACGCCCTGTACTACATAATTTGCGCTTACACCGACCAATCGGATGTAGGTCCCTTCAGCTCTGCAAGCACAGACTAGTTAAGAGAGATTTCTTGGGGTTGTGTTAATATTAGTTTAGTTGATCCAACTGGGTCAGTCGGTCTTATTCTTGGCTGCTTCGGCTTCCGCCTTCTGTGCTTTCCTCCTGTTGCCCACCTCTTTCAGCCCCTCCTGGATCTGCTCCACTGCTTCTTCATCTCCTGCAGACTGGGCCAGGGCCAGAGCCTCCTTGTACAGCTTCACAGACTCCTCAAACAGATCTGGACAAGGAGGAAAACCCACAAGAGACAACGATTGTGTTCATTTGGCACGAAACGGAAGAAAAACAGGTGGGACTACCTGAAATGCAAAAAACGCTTCGAAGCGTTTTCTGTTGCACGCCCTAGTGAACACTACAGACATGTTCTCTGATATCAACAGTCGTAAAAAGTATTCACTGTACCCCCTTGAACTAAATGTTATTCATTCGTGTTGATATCTGTACAGTTACTTATGCAGCTGCATCGACTCGTCAAAATGACCTGTGTCAGAGGGATAACATGCATAGAGATATAATATATGCCATTTAGCAGACACATTCATCCAAAGAGACTTAGTCATGCATGCAGTGGTGTAACGGAGGGTAAACGCAAGTAAACACAGTTTACCCACTTCTTTTTTTTTTTTTTCAACAGTTCACCCACCTTTTATGGAAAAATACATTGAAAGTATGCCTATAGGGAGCGTTACTTTTTTTCACCATGACCGGCGATCATCGTAACCCAACAACGTTTTTTTGTTGCGCTGTATGCGTGCAACCATTTTTTTTTTTTTGTACTCATGGGTGGTTCCAGGAATCAAACCCACTATCCTGATGTTGCAAGAGCCATGCTCTACCAACTGAGCTACATTACATTTAGAGAATTCACAATAAAAGCTCATGTTGTGATACTGAAAACTGGCTTGTGTTGAGGAAAGAGGAAACCAAGGCCCTCCTAGAGGTTGTCCTCATCTTCACCCCTCCTTACCATTGTGCAGTAGGACGCCTGCCATGTTTCCCAGCAGCACGTGCTGGTCATGGTGGCCGGCTTCTCTGCTCAGCTCCACAGCCTGCTTCACCAAGGGCAGAGCCTCGTCGTGGCGACCCTGCAGGTCCAGGATGGTGGCCAGGTCACTCAGCAGCACCAAGGACTGTAGACAGGACAGCAGAAAACAATTTCCAGTTAATATATAAAAAAATATATACATTAAAGTAGGAGCAGATGAAGTTAGTTTCCAAAACATCAGGACGCATAACTGCCCCCTACAGGTTACAAAACATCAGGATGCATAACTGCAAATCATTTCGACTACATCAGTCTTCTTCAGGCAGCGTTGACTAGAATGACTAAACATTTGACAACTGGTACCTGGGGGTGGGTCTCTCCCTGTACCTGGGGGTGAGTCTCTCCCTGTACCTGGGGGTGGGTCTCTCCCTGTACCTGGGGGTGGGTCTCTCCCTGTACCTGGGGGTGGGTCTCTCCCTGTACCTGGGGGTGGGTCTCTCCCTGTACCTGGGGGTGGGTCTCTCCTTGCTCTTCCTGGCAGATCAGCAGAGCTCGCTTGTAGTCCAGCACCGCCTGGCTCAGGCAGTGTGTGGCGGCCATGTAGCGGGCGTGGGAGTCCAGGGTCAGGCCCAGCAGGAGCCGGGTCTCCTTCCGCAACTCCTCTGAAGAGAGAGAGAGAAACATGAGCATGGATGCTGTCAGCGAGCAAGCTCAATATCAAAAAGGTCATACAAGTTGAATGCACACAATACTAAAGCAAGGTTACACAATTTTTCAGAAGATAACGTCGCCCTCTTTATTTACATTTTCATATTTGATTGACCAGAGTGTGCGAGAGGAAAGATATCCCCTTTCTATGTCACAGGGTAGTAGGCCGGATTCCAGCCTGTACCAACGCGGTACATAATGTGTGCCCGGGACAGGACCACTAGACCAGCCAGGCCACACCCTCAATCATTTCAAGCATGGTTGTGGCTGCATTGTGCAAATGGTAATGCCCGTCATTGGTGGGGACTCGTTTAGGAAGGATTAAGAATGAAAAGTTAAAAAAAAAAGGGACTGAGCAAAGCGCATGGAAAGTCCTAGAGGAAAAACTACTTCAGTCTGCTTGAGACTTGGGTTGAGAAATTCAGTTGACAGGAAGCAGTGATGTGCTTATTGTGCGGTCACGGATTACCGATGGACAATATTTTGGGGGTTTAAATACTGTGATTGGACAACATTTACACAAAAAAAAAAGGAGCAGAAGGACAGCGCAGACACAGTCTAGACTAGAGAGAAGACACCATAGGGCCCAACACAGCTAGAGAAGATGGAGGTCTACACTTTACAATGAACTGACAGTCTGTTGTTTACTGAACAGTACAATGGACTGGCTTTTACAACAAGAAGGCGCCGACGATGGTCGCCCTGTTGCTAGCTCCCTGACAACTTTGCAGTCTTTTGATTACTTTTAGTGATTTTTTTTAAAACTTTATAGTATTATTTCCTATCACCGACGAGCACTTCTGAACATCAGATCGAGATTACTCACCACAAATTAGTCTTACCGGCGGGGGATACTCTTGTCTAGACTACCCAAAGCAGTTCCATTGATTACAGGAGCCCTTTTCCAAAAAGATGCCGCCAGAGGGGAAGGCGAGCTGGAGTTCTAGTCTGATTAAACCACCCTCCCCTTTCTACTATATTACCTGGACAATAAACTTTGTGAGCTCAGAGCGCTGATTTCCTACCAGATTTACAAGACACTAAATGTAATCTGTCTCAGAGACTTGGTTATCGGGGGAGGAGCTTGATCCGGCTATACAGCCTACGGGGTTCTCCGTACATCACGCGGACAAGGTAAAAGAGCTTTGCGGGGAAAAACAATGGCGGAAGAGGATGTGTTATGATCAACAACTCATGGTGTGATTTTAGGAATGTACAAAGCCTTAAGAGTTTGTTCTCCTGACCGAGAATAGCTCACGATCAAATGCCGACCCCATTATCTCCCGAGAGAATTTACAGCTGTTTGTATCACGGCTGTGTACATCCCCCCCCACAAGCAGGCACCGCGCTGGCACTTGAAGAATTACACAGGACTTTGAACAAATTGGAAACAGCATATACTCAAGGCCGCATCCATTGTGGACTTTAACAAAGGAAATATAAGGAAAATTCCACCAACACATCTCTTGCCTCACTCGCGGGAATAATACATTGGGATCAGTGTTATTCTTTATACTGAGATGGATGGAAAGCCCTCCTTCGTCACCCCTTTGGCAAATCAGCCTCCATTCGGCTCTTCCCTGCCTATAGGCATAAATTAAAACAGGAAGCACCCATGTTAAGGTCTGTTCAACGCTGGTCTGACCAATCGTAATCCATATTACAGGACTGTTGTGATCACGCGGACTGAGATATGTTCCGAGCCGCCTCTAGGAATGACATTGAGGAATATACTGACTGTCTCTGGGTTGGTTCACCAGGAAGTGCATAGAAGATGTTGTTCCTACAGTGACGATTAGAACGTACCAGAGTTGTGGACTCAAGTCACATGACTTGGGACTCGAGTGACTTGAGACTTGATAGAAAATAAAATAAAACTTGAGAATTGACTTGGAGCCTCAAGACTCGACTTTGATTTAAGACTGATGACTTGAAATTATCTGATGACTTGAAATTTGTGGCACAGAGTCTCCGTGGATTACTCTCCACACAGCAAGAAACAGTAGCTGCAGCATCGGCCTTGCAAAAGAAAACATGCAACCAACTGGCTTGTGAAAGGCACACTCTGCCCTCTGATTGGAACAGCAATATGTCAATCAACAATTACTAGCTTAGGCCTTTTTTGGCATGTCAAAATTGCTTGAAATTGATAATTTGCTTATGAAGCTTGCATTTCAAATTTGTTACAATTAATTACTGTGGCGAATAAATAATAAAGGTATAGATTGTACCTTCATTTCTTTCTGCATCTTATAAATAAAAATACATTTTTCTTAGCATTAAAGATGTGAGTTGCAGGCAAATTTGAGTCAAGTGATATGCATTTTTAGTAGACAGCATTGTGCCCTACACACACACACACACACACAAGCAGTGTTGGATAGGATATAGAGGAGGATCCTGATTAGGGCTGTGATATTTTTTCAATGGCAAAAATTTAAAACACTAAGCAGACCAAACTCTTTGGTCCTTTACAAACCTGCTGTATGTAATATATTGTGATATAGCTTGGAAAATAAATAAATGTGACTCTGGATGACAACATAATGATTTTGTCATCCAGAATCACACACACAATCTTATGCTATTACAGCTATAACTATTTGAAGGTTTGGTCGTTAGATACCTGATTGCTCCTCAGCAGGAAGTTCCTTGAATTTCTCCAACTTGGCTTCAAGGGATTCAATGCAAAACTTGAAACCAGTCTCTGCCAAGTCATTCCTGAGAAGAAAGAAAAAAAGGTTAGAGTTTGTAAATGGTATGTAATAATAATAATAATAATAATAATAACAACCTGAGGGTGGTTTGGGAAATGTAGTCCTATAATACAGGACTACAACCAAATGCAGGAAAAAAAAAACATTCTCAACTGAAAACCTTGGGTTTGGCTAGAGATCCTCTTTAAATGGTGTATGCTGAATACTCTTCATCAACTAAGCTGGCTGGCTCCTATCAGAAACGTATCTGCATTTTATTAAATGATGCATCAAAGGGAATTTGATGCAACGGTGTCTCCTACTTTAAATGATGTCCATTATTTAAGAGGTAAAGACCACTAGAACTAATTTGGTTGCTTTAAACCTTGAAGCTGATTCAATTGCGCCAACGTCCATTGAAACCCACATGAAGACATCCACTTTTGAAGAAGTCCACTTACTTATTCTGGCCGGCATATATGGTAGCGAGCTTCAGGGACATCTCAATAACCCCATTGTCATCCTTTGAACCGGAGAGAGAGAAAAAGACTGAAGTAGCACTATAGCATTGAGTGTCTGGACAACGACGCACCACAACAATTCACTGCCAATGGTTTTGGAATAGACGGAGCTGAGCCCAAGACTATTTATTCCAGACAGTCCTTCTTTCGTCAGATGGATGGTCAAATTACAGATTGTCCTGTTCATTTCAAAATCAGAAAGCTGCTACAATAGGCACGTCACAACAATTATATTCCTCTACTATTAATAAAAATAATCTATGCTATGTAACAGACGCTTTTATCCAAAGCGACTTACAGTAATGCGTGCGTACATTTTAATATATTTACCACGCTATTAACTTCTTACTTAGACACACGACCAACCCTCACCTGTGATGTTCCTCCGGACAACATGAAACTCATGGATGCTTTGAACAGTTTCTCTGCCTGGGGGAGAAGAGCACAGGGGTCACTGGATGTCGGCAAAACAGCTCAAAACATTAAAAAGGTACAATCTATCAAATTAACCTCTGCTCAATGGTCATTTCAATGAATGATGTACCACTGATTCTTGAAGAATATACTTATGAATGCCTCATGAGCTTAGTACAACTGAATGGTTTCAAAAGGTAGACTCCGCAATATGACATCATCTTCACCTCCAGCTTACAGACATCAACAAAAATGGGATTTAAAAATGACCATACTTCCCCTATTGGTTCTTCTCCTTTGAAGAATACACACATTAGGAAGCGCCAATAGTGGCAGTCCTCCCTGCAGATTTGAACTTTGTTCATGTTCTGGATTTCGATAAGCAGGAAGCCACCCCGCAGTGAGTGACATTGTCATATTGCTGAGTGTACCATTAAAAATAAATCCCAAAAGTGGGCCAGCAGGTGGGGGGGGGGTTCACTGAAGAGTGGAGAAAGAGTGGAGAAAGTGGAGACCTCTGCTGTTACTCACATTATCCAGCTGACCTTGGACATAGGCAAGGTTCGCCATCTGTAGAGACCGGGGAAAATAAAACAACAATAATGATGTACGTATGAGTTTCTATGCCAACTGTGGCATTACATTCAAAATGCTTACAAAAATTCCTGAGTGAGCACATTAAACCTTACTCCATCAAAGTGTATAGAATGATATCTCAAAACTATCGTTATCGCAACATGGATCGATGTGTGTTCAATATCACTATTGCAAGAGGCTGCGATACTTAAATTCTCTCTGTAATGCACAGCAAAAGACATGACCAATCACATGTCAAATAAGTCCAGTCAATCACTTGTTCCCACAAGTTCACTGTGTAGGCTAATAACACTGGGTTTGAAGCACATTTCAACAAGTTAAAAACCTCCTGTTAAAAAGTCAAGGCTTTTACCAAACTGTAGGTGTAGATGATAGCTTGTGTATTGTGAGTCTGGTGGGCCAGTGCGATGGCCTGGTGGAGGAATCCATTGGCTCCATGCAACTGCCCCCGCATCATACTGAGCTTTAACAACACACACCAATGTTACTCAGACATCAAAATGTAAAGACATATGACACTTAGTCAAAACATAATGTCTAGGACAGATATGTCAAACAGTTGGGTCTGAATTGATACAATTAAAATGCTGTTAAATTGATATGACATGACACTTAGATTCACAACATTGCATATCATCTCATGGCAAATACAGTTGCATGGTACTGTCCTTCTCTTGTTTAGATTAAGATTCTAGGTAGAAACTGTACTGAGGAGTTGCCAGCATCAATGACAATTAGCTACCTTGGCTCTCTTCAAAAGTAAAATAATCTCATCTTCTTTCTTCTGGGCCTCAGTTCTGGTGTCCTCCTCAGCTTTGCTGAAGAGAGAGAACGCTACGAATGAGAGGGGGGAATGTATATCACAGAACATTTAGGTCACTCAATGACTCAAATGACCTGTTATGAACGTTAACCACGTTCTTGTAATGACATGTTGAAGTACTCACAATTATTCCAAATCACATGCACATACATCAATGTAAAACATTATCGATGATAGTCTCTTGGTAGCAATTTCATGTACTGACAATGACACCCACTAGGGAAGATTATTTTAACATATCTAACATGACAATTACTTACCAATTCCACTCCACATTGCATACGTCCAGTTACTAGTAGCACGGCTGTTTTCATCCCCATTGCTTTCGCAGCTGCCGTAATAGCTGTGACCTTCGGTGCACAGTAGCATGTACAGCATTCGATTGAGAACTCGCCATTTTCAGACATTGCAATGATTGTGTCCTCGCATGAACTCGAACACCTAAAGACAGGTTGCGGGAGCCCTCTGACATACATTGTGTTATTTGATTCCTATTAGCAAAGAACACACGAGTGACAGCGGGTAGCGCCATTTTTAAATACGTTACAATTCAGTCGGAAGTCTTGGTGGAAAACCAAAATACGTCACTTCAGGTATTCAAATTAAAAAGCGTTCAACATAAAAGTGAATTTGTACATAACAATAATTTTATTAATATTTTCGAATAAATCAATGTTTTTGATTATTTTATATTTTGAAGGCCAATACAAAAAACTTGTTCAGGAAGTGATTCTCTGCGCCCGCGGTCAACACGACTACCTTCAATGGATTTGTTTATGAGCGTCTGAAGTGTACCTAACATTTTCTCAAAATGTCTAAAGTACAGCAGTTGAATGTGTTTATCACCGAGCGATTAACAGCAGCAGCTGTTGAATTATTTGGGACAGTGGGAAAGAAGGTAGCAGAGGAGCACTAGAAACGATTAACAACAGAGGCTGGTGAGATTTTCAGGGCAGTGGAAAAGACGATAGCAGAGTACCAGGATGAAATCTCCAGTTCAAAGATGGAGAACGAACGTCTAGGGGGAATTCTTCTGAAGTTGGGAGCAGGTTTGTACCGAAGAAAAAATGCATTATAAGTTACACAACCTAGTTGTTCTTCTAAGCTAGCTGGTAGCTAACCTCGGAAGCCCAGCTACCCACAAGGCTTTTGCCGCGTTCAAAATAACTGGGAACTCGGATCTGGGAAATCTCCAAATCGATTTGAACGGTCATCCAACTTGGAATTCCAACTCGGGCCTCTTTCTAGAGCGCCGAGCTGAAAATCAATGACGTCATGATTTCACCTCGTATTTTTTCGACTTCCCAGTTGTTTTGAACGGGCCATTTGTCTCTCGCGGGGGACTTTCTGGGAATGGCTGTGTCCGGTTTTTCGCTGCTGCAGTAATGACTGCTGTTGTACACTACAGGTGCATCAAATCTCTTACTATGACAATGGTGTCATAGTAATATAGGCCGCGTTCACCGTGCTGTTTTCCTCACGCAGCCCACCCGCCCTTCTCCCGAACGGCGACGTTACAGCTGCTAGTCGGAGCCAAGACGCTGTTTCAGCATCAAGCCAGCTGCATGCCTACTCCCTATCGCTACTTATATATATATATATATATATATATATATATATATATTGCATTGGATGCCATGTTCATTTGGAAAAGTACTGTAAAATATTGTGTGTGCAAAATATATCAGATAACGAGGGCAGTCCTGGGGGGGAGCATGTGGGTCTGGGCAGATGAGATCATTGTTTGGGTGTGTCTGTAAGTTTGTTTTCAGAGTGTAATTTTATTTTACATTTTTAAAAAGGAATATTATATTAAAAAATAAAGTTCAACATTCACCTTTTGCTACCATTTCTGTCAAGTCTTCGCATGCAATTTGATACATACATTGGATAAATCCAACATATGCACCATATAGAACACAGAACACACTGCTTCTGCAACACAATGCTGCTGCAACACAATGCTGAAAGGCAAGCGCAGCGTTCCTTTGGAATTGAATGTACTTCTGGTGTACCAAAACGCAATGTCACTGTCGGTGTGATCGAGGTTTAAGAGTAACTCTGGAAGTGTAGTTTCGTCGGATGGAGGCACCGATAGCTGTATGGATCTGTAACTGCTACAGTAAGTGTATCTTTGTTATTTGAAGGATTCTTTCTCGCTGATGAAAGATAAGGGAGATATGTTTCGAAAGCCATATCGCAAGCAATGATTGTTGACGTTTCTAAACTTTAAAACACATCGTCGGGATTGTAGTTCATATGAGCCAGTCGTGGGCGAAGCTAATCCCTGACAACTGTAGGGAGAAGGCAGAATGCCGCCTAGAGACATGACACTTAATTACCAACATAGCTGGATCTTTCATTTATTTTTGCACTACACATAAACATTTATGAGAACAGTCAGCCCTCGAATACTAGCTAGCTAGCTAACGTGAGCTAGCAGAGATTTTAGCCAGCCAGGTTGTATTGAAAGCAAGCTAGATGGCTACATCTAGCCAGGACAAACATATATCCACAATTTCACTAATATAATAAAAACTCAATAAATCATAGCATGTTTTTTGTGCTCATTCTTGGGAGTGCTCCTAATCTCAGTTTGTTACCTGTATAAAAGACACCTGTCCACAGAAGCAATCAATCAATCAGATTCCAAACTCTCCACCATGGCCAAGACCAAAGAGCTCTCCAAGGATGTCAGGGACAAGATTGTAGACCTACACAAGGCTGGAATGGGCTACAAGACCATCGCCAAGCAGCTTGGTGAGAAGTTGGTGCGATTATTCGCAAATGGAAGAAACACAAAATAACTGTCAATCTCCCTCGGCCTGAGGCTCCATGCAAGATCTCACCTCGCGGAGTTGCAATGATCATGAGAACGGTGAGGAATCAGCCCAGAACTACACGGGAGGATCTTGTCAATGATCTCAAGGCAGCTGGGACCATAGTCACCAAGAAAACAATTGGTAACACACTACGCTGTGAAGGACTGAAATCCTGCAGCGCCCGCAAGGTCCCCCTGCTCAAGAAAGCACATATACAGGCCCGTCTGAAGTTTGCCAATGAACATCTGAATGATTCAGAGGAGAACTGGGTGAAAGTGTTGTGGTCAGATGAGACCAAAATCGAGCTCATTGGCATCAACTAAACTCGCCGTGTTTGGAGGAGGAGGAATGCTGCCTATGACCCCAAGAACACCATCCCCACCGTCAAACATGGAGGTGGAAACATTATGCTTTGGGGGTGTTTTTCTGCTAAGGGGACAGGACAACTTCACCGCATCAAAGGGACGATGGACGGGGCCATGTACCGTCAAATCTTGTGTGAGAACCTCCTTCCCTCAGACAGGGCATTGAAAATGGGTTGTGGATGGTTATTCCAGCATGACAATGACCCAAAACACACGGCCAAGGCAACAAAGGAGTGGCTCAAGAAGAAGCACATTAAGGTCCTGGAGTGGCCTAGCCAGTCTCCAGACCTTAATCCCATAGAAAATCTGTGGAGGGAGCTGAAGGTTCGAGTTGCCAAACGTCAGCCTTGAAACCTTAATGACTTGGAGAAGATCTGCCAAGAGGAGTTTATAACATTTTTGACATGCGTTTTTCTGGATTTTTTTGTTGTTATTCTGTCTCTCACTGTTCAAATAAACCTACCATTAAAATTATAGACTGATCATGTCTTTGTCAGTGGGCAAACGTACAAAATCAGCAGGGGATCAAATACTTTTTTCCCCTCACTGTAGCAGGTTTAGAAGAACTTACGCAGCAGGTTAGGATAATTAATGTAGCAGGTTAGGATAATTAGGTTACGGTTAGAAAAAGGGATAGGGTTAGCTAAAATGCAACAACAACAACAAATCTGTACAAAAAAACGCAGCCCTAGTAGTCTAGGATTAGTCATACTAGTAATAGTAGTAGACAGAGTCTGGGTTTAGACGTTAAAGGCCCAGTTCAGTCACAAACGTGATTTTTCTGTGTTTAATATATATTTCCACACAATGAGGTTGGAATAAATATTGTGAAAATGATTATAATGCCCATTTAGTGTAAGAGCTATTTGGAAAGCTATTTGCTCTTTGCTAAGAAGCTATTTTTGTTTGTTTTCAATTAAAAATGGTAAATAATAATCACAGTAAGGTACTTAATTGTTACCCGGAAATGATTTGATATTGAAATAAAAACAGCTGCATTGGACCTTTTTAAAGTAAATTTAACTTTCTCCCTCGTTTGACTGCATGGCATTCTTGGTGGTTTGCACGGGCCTTTAATCTCAGCAGGGCATAGAGTAATGTGAATGTGTTTGTTTCAATCTCTTCAGACCCCCTGCAGCCAACTCTCCCTGAAGAGGAGGTTCCCCCTGAGCAGCAGCACTGTGAGCAGGAGGGGAGCCCCAGTCTGGGGCAGGAGGACCCAGAGCCCACAGCAGCACTGTGAGCAGGAGGGGAGCCCCAGTCTGGGGCAGGAGGACCCAGAGCCCACAGCAGCACTGTGAGCAGGAGGGGAGCCCCAGTCTGGGGCAGGAGGACCCAGAGCCCACAGCAGCACTGTGAGCAGGAGGGGAGCCCCAGTCTGGGGCAGGAGGACCCAGAGCCCACAGCAGCACTGTGAGCAGGAGGGGAGCCCCAGTCTGGGGCAGGAGGACCCAGAGCCCACACCGATTAAAGAGGAACAGGAGCTCAGGACCATTCAGGAGGAAGATCCGTTCCAAAGATGTGAAATCTGGTACCACAGAGGTTGTAGAGTTCATCTTTACCTCTCCCTGTGTGGAAAGTGAATGTGATCAGGACAGCAACATGGACTCTCTACCCACCAACCCAACTGAAGTGATCAAAACAGAACCTGATGGAGAGGACTACAGAGTATCAGAACTGACCCGTGACTCTCCGCTTCTCTCTGCAGTAAATCCAGACTGTTCTGCAGTAAAGAGTGAAATCATTGTAACTCTTGATGTGGAGGAGAGTGAAGAACTACTATTAAGATTAAAGACACTGGCAAAGCAAGGACGAAGTTCTTATATCTGCACAAAGGCTAAGACAACCAGTGAGCTGAAAGCACCATTGAGGACTCACACAGGGAAGAAGCTTCACATGTGTTGTGTGTGCAGTATGGGCTTTATCAGAGCAATACATTTAAAAAAACACCAGAAATTTCACAGAGAGGAGAAATCATTCAGGTGTTCCGTGTGCAGTAAATGTTTTAAACTATCAAGCCTTCTAATAAGACATCAGAGAATTCACCCAAGGGAGAAGGCACACACAAGGGAGAAAGCTTATCATTGCCAAATATGTTGCAAAGCCTTTGACTGTAATTACAAACTAGACAGGCATATGAGGAGTCACACAGGGGAGAAACCGTTCAGTTGTCCCGTGTGCAATAAATCTTTCTCAGTTCCAATAAAAATTCATATAAAAAGATATCACACTGAGGAGAAACCATTCCAGTGCAAAGAATGTGGCAAATCCTTTATTGCCGAGAGACACCTGGCCGTTCATCCGAAGATTCACACAAGGGAAAAACCACACAAGTGTCCTGTGTG